CCCCTCCTCCCTCATATCAATTTTGACCACTTATTTTGCAGCAAAATTATTATTATTTATATTGTATACATTAAGGTAAGGTCAGGCTGCAGGCTAAAACAATTTCTGGGCCGAACGCTTCAGCTAGGAGAGGCCAGGGGGCAGAGCGCTGCGGCTAGGACAGTCTAAGGCTATGACATGTTAGGGAGCCGGGCGCTGCTGTCACATGACCAATAATATCTATCCGATACATACGAGATCCATGTACAAAATTGAAAGGGGGGGGGGGGCAAAAATCTTTCTCTAGGAGATTACAAGTATTATTCCCTTGAAAATTCTTAGAATATATTTAATGTCCCATTTTCCAAGCTAAGAAATAAATAAAAATTCATTCGGTTGTGTTCATATTCCTAAGTATAATCTTCAGGACATAATCCCTGCTGATGGGAAGTTATATCTCCTGTTTGCTCTCATGTTCAAGGATCTGCGACAGCATATTGACGGAACCCGACAGCAAGGGAACCATCTTCCCAGCAACATTATCAGGAGCTACACACAACAGATCCTTCAAGGACTGGACTACTGTCACAAGAGAAGATTGTTCCATCGAGATCTGAAACCTCAAAACATTCTCTTGGATGAGGTCGGTGGTCTCAAACTAGGAGATTTTGGTCTGGCAAAGCTTTTCGGAACCCCAGTACGAATTACAACATTTGAAATTGCCACACTGAGATATCGGGCCCCCGAACTTTTGCTAGAATTTCCCGATTATGGACCCGCGATAGATATATGGAGTGTCGGCTGCGTTCTTGCTGAAATGATTCAACTAACACCGTTCTTTAAAGGAACGAATCCTCTAGATCAAATCCATCGTATTTTCAGTATCCTGGGAACCCCCAGGGAGAGTAGCTGGCCGGGGATATCCTCCTCGACCATATATCAGGATATATCCTACAGTATCGAGCAGACTAGCTGTTTATCTCAGGAGTTGAGTGATGCATCGCCCGAGCAGATAAATCTACTCTCTCAGCTTTTCTGTTTTTGTCCTAAATCTAGAATATCTGCAGAAGAAGCATTAAAGCATCAATATTTTACGGAGATATTCTCCAGTCAAGAAAATAATGCTGCATCCTCTTAATATTCAAATCCTATTGTTTTTAAGGTTTATTTGGAATTTCAAGTCAAAAAGAAAAGTATATATCTTTCTCAATCTTAGATCTTTACTGAATCTCTTGTATTAAGAAATGTATGTCTGTATAACACAGTAACAGAAGCTTTTATTTACATATATATTTTTATATTTTTTATTTACAATATAATGTTATTTTCTACTTAGTTTATTTTGACTTTGAATAATATTTAATTTTCAGAATATTACCCCAATAGCTGAGGGATGGAGGGGTACAGTAACAGCTACCAGAATGGGTCAGTCTCTAAAGAGGCGGAATTTCAGAGATTGGCGCAAAGTATTGGAACTAATATTCAGAAAATGATTCAAAACGGTAATTCAGTTCGGATATATTATCATCTCAAATATCATTTAATTTTAGATATATTCTCATTTCAAATATCAAGTCATTTTTATTTCAAATATCAATTTATTTCAGATTTATTTTCATTTCAAATATCAATTCATGTCAGATTTATTTTCATTTCAAATATCAATTTATTTCAGATAAATTTATTTCCAATTTTAATTGATTTTAATTTTGCAAATGTGTCACGCTAGGAAACCCCCCTTTCATTATCTGAATAAACTCTTCATTTATGTCCATCTATGTATGTATGCTTGTCTGTTTGAATAAATATCGTTTAAAAATCTTTTAAAATTAATTTTGGGAACAGATCTAATTTCTACTATATTATCTCAGAGACACCTCTCCTCTCGGAGAAAGAGGCCTCACATTTTCTATTTTAATTATCATGTTTTTTTTGGGTTCATAATTTGCTAAATTTTGAAATTGTAGCTTTAAAAATGGAATAAAACGGCATAATTTTCAATTTTACAGAAAAAGGCATAAAATGGCATAATTTACCTATGGCCCCTCCTTGAATACGCCTCTGATTGCAACCTTTATCTTTAGGGAAAATCAGAAATAAAGGACAACATATTTGTATCTTTGTTGTTATGTGGAATGTATAGTCCTTCTACAATGTAGAATAAAGCAATGAAATCTCTCGGCGCCACTAGAAAAGTAGTTCAACTATTTGTACCTTATTCAACTACTCCTATTTATTAAATCTGACCTCAGATCAGATTTCTGATCTGAAATCCATAAAAGTCTTTCTTAATATTTTAAGACAAAACAACACAGATTTAAACACTAAAAAATGCAAAAAATAGAAATTGAACGAATAAGTTATACATCGTATTAATTAATAAAATCTATATACTTTGCTTGTCTGTTTGTATCCAATAAACGTCAGAACGACTGAATCGATCGGGGCCAATTTTTTTTATGGGATATCGGTTGACCCCAGGGAAGGTTTATAGATGATCAAAATTAGCCTCCAACAAAATACGAATTTGATGGATTTTTTTAATCCACGAAATTTATTTATAAAATCCGCCAAATTTTTGTTTGTTTTTGTTTTACAAGTATACAAAGAGAAAATGTTCATAATTGAAATAGAAGATGGGTGCAAAGCGCCCTGAAAGCGTAGTTATTATTATTACTAATTGATCAATTATTTTTTGAAGGCATCAGATCCAGCACTACACGAACCAGCTGGCCAAGGACACGAGCAAGCAGTTGAAGGACCTGAACGAGTTCCCCACGGATACAGCAGTTGATCCCAGGTTAGATACTTAGATGGATAGATACTTCTCTAAGATAGAACGATAGATAGTTACTTGTCATTAAATAGATTAAATACTTAAAACTTACTACTTATCCTTGGATAGATAGAATTATAGATATTTAACAACCTTCTGTTCATCAAAAGTTCTGAACTGACAAAGATTTTGAGATTCTAATTTTTAAATAATCTAGACAATGGAAACTGCAACGAGAGAAATTCACGTCAGACTTCACGCGCGCCCTGGATACTTTTCAACGCGCGCAAAGACAGGCCGCGCAGAAAGAAAAGGATGTTATAAGGTAATATAAATAACGTTAAGAACTAAATTGGAGGTAATTTCCTAGAGAACGATTTTTAATCTTAACCTAACCTAACCCTAAATAACAAAAAAATAAATAATAATAAATTTGCTGAAAAATAAATGGGCATGTACAAAATTGATAGGAGGGGGGGGGGTCCAAAAATCGTTCACTAGGTCAGACCCAAATTGGAAACACTTAAAGTTTTGAATTGTTCTTAAATTCCAATCATTTTATTTTTTTTTTCAAATTACGAATTATCTTGGCTACATGAAATTACAATTACAGGGATAAATAATAAACAGTATTTGGTTTAAAAAAGAAAATACGACAAAATTATCAGAAATTTTAATTGTGATTTTAAAAAAATTTTACTCTTGACATGTTTGAATAGATATCTCAGTTATTAAACCCAAAAGATTCATTGCGGCATTTCTAATGAATACAAGGAGTGAAGAAGTTGACAATCAAACTGCGTTGAATTGGTTATTAGCATAGAAACAATATATAATCTTCGTTGATAAAACATTAACAAACAAGGTTGGGTTGATTCTCAAGTGTAAGCAAATAATTAGAGAAAAGGAAAGTGTTAATTTCATTAAGGATAAAAAATTAACGAAATTCGGGAATACACTTACTTAATGATTGAATTACAGAAGGTGGGGGGGGGGGGCTATTAGAAACTTATCTAGGTTAAGTAGCAAGGTACTGAAATTGATCAAAAAATCAAAGTAAGAAAATCCAATGCAAAGGAGTGATTTAATTATTCTCGAATTATAGAAATGTTGCAGACGGGAAAGGAAAGGCGTGATTACTGTTGTTTTAAATTGTATCATAATGGTCCGGATTTTTTTTTATAAAAGTCAACCCACTCAATTTAGAATTTTATAACAGAGCCAAGAACATTCCCCGTTCAAATCGCCGATCAAAATTTGAGGTGAATTAGTCAAGGGGGTTCATGAGTTATGATCGGATATACAAACAGAGATTACTACTTTATATGTAACATTTTATAAATTTTCTAGGAAATACAAGAATCAGTCTGGGTTTGGTGTTCAGGATCAGAACCTTATAGATATAGAAGGAGGAGCTTCACAGACTAGAACTCAGGTATTCACAAGTCATAGGGTCAGACATTGATCTCCATCTTTCAGATCCACGAATTAATATAATGTCTCTTCGATATCCTATACCCTTTGCAGGGATACCTTAAATTGAAGGATGAAGCATTGATCCTCAAATGTTAAAGAGCCCCCATTGGATATTAAGATTTATTATCCAAAAATATATTTTTTTTTTAACTTGAAAATTTCCTTTTTCTTTCTGGAACAAAAAGCTTTTGTGTGAAATAGCTCTAATCTACAACACTTTGATATTCAATTTGACAACTTATAAATTTATACTAGAGATTAATAGGGGCTTGGTCCCTCAACATTGGTTTTCACTTTACAGCTGGAAATTCTTTTATTGTGAACATCGAGATCAATGCTTGGTCTCCTGATTTTGTTAATCTGTAGATTAATTTAAACTCCTTCAGCCGCTCTTACTGGTCCGCGTCTGCTGATGGCAGACAGTAATCAGCAGACGGTAGTCCAGCTACAGCTTGGAAATCCAGGACCCTTCCTCTCCAGTTTGGTGACCGCCGTTTTGAGTTCTTGTTCCTTCTCGCGGCCGTGGACCGTCCTATTCTGGGAGCAGATTTCCTCGCTGATTTTCACCTCCTAGTGGATCCCGCAATGCACAAGGTTCTCCAACTCCTCCAACATCCCGCATTGAAACCCCTTGCACCTCCTGTGAGATCACCCGCCGATTCCTCTGTTGGCTCGGTTAGCAAGCTGACCCCAGATGTTACCTCCCAGTTGGACGAATATCCTGCTGCCCGGAAACCATGCCTACCTGGTCAACTGCCAAGCCACCATGTCGAGCATGTGATTAAAACAGAAGGTCAACGTCTATATGCCCGCCCCCGCCGTTTAATGAGAGCTCTTATTGGTCGGAACCTAGCAAGGATATCTATAATAGAGGATTAAGCAGAACATTAAAGTGTCCACAGTGGGGTTCGAGATTAAGCGAACTGGATTAAGGGTATTTAATACAAAAGTTTCCAGCTGAGGGTAAATTCACCACCGGATATTCAAAAGGATTGCACAAGTTGCTTGATTTCAAGATTCACAAGTTCTGACCTCTGTTTACATTTCTTTATGATTTATTATGAAGAAAAAACTGTAGATTATATTTTTTTAAACTTTGAACTGTTCAGGTTATGTTAGAAGAAGAACAGAATGTTGAAATGTTGCAGGAGAGAGAGCGAGCAGTACGTCAACTGGAGGTACATAATTTTTGTTTACTTCATTTGGTAGTTTTGTTGTTATTTGACATATTGAACAGTTTAAGCACATTTATTAATATATTTGTCAAGTCATTTCTTTTTTAGTTAAAATTGTTGTATGATAACTATAATATGAGAAAATTGGAATTTTATATATACAGGGTTACCAACAAAGGATAAGACAGTAAAGACGACGTACCTTAAACTTTAAAAATATGTAGATTCCAAGGTTCAATTAAGCCTTCTGCATTTATTGACTTATACATTGATTTACGAAACAAGTTGCCAAATGCAAGGAATCATGAATATAAGGAAACAGACGTTATAAATTCCTAATAGTCGTCTCTGAAGCCTCATTCTTTGTGGGTGACACTGTATGTTAAGAGCCGGGTTATGCTATAAAGCGCTCTTTTAGCATAATATAGAAACTATTTTTGATTGATATTTTTGTCATTATTTGACATGTTTAACAGTTGAAAACACCAGTTTTAGCATAATATATATTTCTGAATTAAATCGACTAAATGGTTTACAGTAGAAACTAATTTTCCTTGATATTTTTGTTATTATTTGACAACACAAGTTTTAGCATAATATATATTTCTGAATAAAATCGACGAAATGGTTTACAGTAGAAACTAATTTTCCTTGATATTTTTGTCATTATTTGACAACACAAGTTTTAGCATAATATATATTTCTGATTAAAATCGACGAAATGGTTTACAGTAGAAACTAATTTTTCTTGATATTTTTGCCATTATTTGATAACACCAGTTTTAGCATAATATATTTTTCTGATTTAAATCAACTAAATGGTTTAAAGTAGAAACTATTTTTTCTTGATATTGTTGTCATTATTTGATATATTTAACAGTTGAAAAAACGAGTTTAATGTTTCTTAATTTGTTAAAAATTGTCGTATTCTAATTTTACTGTTATATTACAGAAAAATTTCTATTGTCTGTATGTTTATTTGTCTGATCAAAGCTCCTGAACTCATAAATTCTTTTGATTGGGGAACTCGGTAGAACCACGGGAGTGTCATTGGTCCTAGCTTAGTTTAAAGATTTTAAGTTGAGTTGGTTGACTTTTGTAGTCGAGAGAAAGTTTCGTTTCCAGTCAAAGTTGAGTTTCCAAGCTAGTAATTATATTAATTAATAAATTAACTGATGTAAATTAAGTAAATGGTTTATAATTGAAACTATTTGTTCAGGCTGATATCGGAGATGTGAATCAGATATTTAAAGACTTAGCCGCCATGGTTCATGATCAGGTATTTTAAAATAGAAAAATATGAATTTATAAGACAATTAATTAATTATCTTAATTCGTTGTTTATTAGGGAATAAGAATTACGTAGGAAGTGAAATAAATAATTTTTATTTTAAGATGTTTCGATTTCGATAATTGATTTATTTCTATGATTGCTTTCCCTAGCTGAATGATTGATTGATGTATTGATAGAACTTGAGTTGATTGATTGATTTAGAGTGAGCTGGTTGATTCTATAGAAGCATGATTGATTGATTTATTGATGGGTTTAGGGTGAGCTGGTTGATTCTATAGAAGCAAACGTTGAGTCGTCTTCAGTTCGGGTAGAGGAGGGAACACAGCAGTTACTTCAGGCAGAGAGATATCAGGTTAGGCAGTAGGCACTAGGTAGGTCATCAAGAGATCGAAACTTTTATATTGTTAATCTGTTCAGAAAGCATTGACGGATTAAGTTAATTCCTCAGGAATAACTTTAAGACAATTTAAAATAGGCTCCAGAGTTTTTCTCTCATCCATTAAAAAATAACTAAGAGTACGAGTCAGCTAATTGTTTTATTAATCAATCGCTTAATGAGTGAAGTTTCTACTGTTGATATCAGGTTTAATTGTTGTAAATTAACGCTATATTAAGCAAAAATTTCGCCCTCCGTACTTTTAAAATAATTCATAAAAAGTTACCTAAAATGCTAAGAATTCTCAACCAATATTAGTTTATTTTTAACTACAATTCGACAAATCATTATAATTTTCATGCCCATAATGTGAAGATGCCAGTTATATTTGGTGTTTTATATCCAGGCACCCAGGGGTGTTTAAGGTCCTAGGGGTTTTAATTTAAAAAAAGCTATAAATGTAAATTAAGACTCAACCATTTTTACTCGATATATTTACATTTTTTTCTTATTATATATAATAATGAGCCCCATCCTAGATACCATGAAATGTTAAAATTTTAACAAACGAGCATTTAGTTTTAAGAGGAAAATGATTAATAAATCATTTATTAAATAGTAAATTTATTAAACTGTAAACTATTTTAGAACAAGGCGCGGAGAAAGAAAATGATCCTGGCTCTGATAGGAATAATTATTCTCATCATTCTTATCATTATTATTGCCTACTCAGCTAAAAACTAGTCAGAAAACAGTTTTACAATAGTTAGTGAAAAATTATATAGTTGTAAAATGTATATCCAAATATTTGTCCTGTTATCCAACAATTTTGTCATAATTTCCTAGACGTCAAAAAAATATTGTTTTTGAGAGGTCTAAATTTTAATCAATGTCGTCTTCATCATTGTCTAAATTCCCCTAAAAAGTTTTTTGATTGCATTGAAGAGTTCAGTCGCCATGTTTTAAGGCATTCCGTAACATTAAAAATGTCAGTTTTGTATATCCAAGTGAAAATACTTAAGTTTCATGCAGTGCAGTGCTTAGGATCCGGATCCGTTGGATCCGCATAATTTTGGCTTTATGGATCCCGATCCGCAAAAATATGCGGATTCACGGATCCGGATCCAAGGGGTAAAATATCAACCAAAAACTGCAAAAAAAAATTTTTACTCTTAAAACACAAATCTAAACTTTTGAAAAAAAAGAGAGATTATAAAAATTTCCTCATGTCTGAATAGTTTAAGTATTAATATAAGCGAATAATTTAAAACAAAAATTCGAAAATTATTTTTTGTTCAGTAAATCTTAAAGAAATGACCTGGATCCGGATGATACATTTTCTCCAGTTTGAATCCAGGATCCGGATCCGCTTAAAAATTTTATGAATCCTAAGCACTGGACTTTCATGAAAGTAATAGGACGGGAGTGAGCAAAAATAAAAAGAGGTGTTATTGAAGTTTCCTGTTGAAGATTATATTTAGATAAAATTGGAAGTAAATCATATTAAATGGAATATATATATAATTCAGCTGTACTTTTCCCTTTATAAATGATTGTACTCAGAACTCATTATCCCAGTGTTAATATTATATTCAAGCATTCATGACCTTGCATCGAAGATACTTTTTTCTCCAGGAAAGTTGAACAATGAAAATAACCCAACAGATTAATAATTTTTTTACAAGAAAATAAGTAAAAACTATTAATCAACCAAATCAACGTAAACGTTTAGGACTGAGTGATAATTGGTCTTATTGAAGCTTATAAGGCGTTTGTTGAACACTTAATAGTAAATATGTCTTTAAAATTGCATTAAAACTTTGTAAAGGCGCATGTTTCATGATATTTTCCTGGATTCTGATGATAATTAAAAAAAAAACAATTTGCTAAATTTAAATATTTGTATTAATTAGTAACAAGTAATCACTGAATATTTTAAAACATATTTAGTTGCATAATTCACAATTTAGATATTTCACAAATACTGATTTTAAATAAAAAAATGTTGCATTAAATGTTTTCAAATCATTCGTATTTTTAAGCATATTGGATAATTTGGAATCATAAATGTATTGTTTACTCTCTTAGCTGGTATTATTATTTAAAAATGTTTAGTTTATTCCTTTACTTATTTCACTTATATAATTATCATTACAAACATTAAATTGCATTTATAAGCTCGGTTGAATTAAAAACATTAATATTTGATTATGTATTATATATTCCATAATATTAAACCCATCCTTAAGCTTAATTTAGTTCTTGTTATCATATTTAACTCTTCAAAATAACTGTTAATAAATATTTATTTAAAGTTTAGAATATTTTCATCTATGGAAACGAAACCCTTGACACCTTAATCAGATCAAATTTTATAATTCCTGCAGTAAAAACAATTTTTTCTAAATTAAAAAAATGTTAAACTTGATAGAAAACGCCAATTTATCAATGTAAAGCAGGGTTAATAAGTTCCAAATATTTCTGATAATCTCCTTACACGATGCGAATATTAAGGAGAACGTATATTTTTATGAGATTAAAATTTCCATTTTAATTGGCCATTCATATTCATGCAACAGATTACTTCATGTAGCAAAAAAAATTAATAAACACAGCTTTCAAGAACTTCTCTGATGGAACCTTTTTATTACAATGCTAAGCTAATTTGAAAATCCCGTTTGACAATGTGAGTGTCCTGTGACTATAATGTTTATAGCTGGCTTAGTTAGCTAATCTTACAAGGTATTGTATGTATAACATTAAACAGAAAATGGATTTCAAATGTATTTCCTTTCCTTTGTTCAACCAGAAAACATATTTCCGATAATATTTTTTTTACAAAAAGAAACGACAGTATGCCTAACAGAATTCATGCTGCAACTAAACTTTTACCTTCTAAATTAATTGGTTAATTACAAAAATATAAGGTTTAATAAATATTAGGTTAATTTTTTAACATTTATCCTCCAGCATGAACCAAGGTTTTTAAGTTGGATAGTGTAAGCTCGATACGCTCCAATGTACGGTAAATAGAGTGGGTACTAAACGCCCGAAACAAAACGTCCAATAACAAAACGCCCAATGCAACAAAACGCGCCCAATTACAAAACGTTCAATGTTACATGTTCCAATCATATGTAAAAAGAAAACAGTATTGTTTGATCTCTTTTCAAGAAATTTCTCAACTTATCTGTTGAAATTCCTCATAGTAAATTTTCTGGAGTCTCACAGCTCGATGTATCTGTATTCTTCAGTGGTAGGCGAATATATTTAGATTTCAATTTTTATTTATATAAAGGTCGGGTTAGGACAGTTTTCGTACATTGGAGCGCATCGAAGAAGCAACCTTGGCATGAATCCAGAATAATTATGCCGATTAGTATTGCAGTGGAATTGGATTTCTAAATCCCACTGTGTTATGTCGTTTAATCAAATTTGTTATTAATTTTTACCGTTTATTTGATACTTTGATTCTTAGGGGAGGGGGGGAGGGGTTCCACACTCCTCCACTAGGGTTATTAATATTTAGGCAGTATAGTTTTTTTTTTATGTTTTAATCCGTTATCTACTCGCCTTACAAAGGTTTCTGTAAATCAAAAATTTGACTTTTTATTTTCTAATTTAAGATCCATTTCGCGCATCCGCTTAAGTAATGGAGAAGAAGGATAAGGATGGGCTGCCAGAAGCTGGGGCTGTTAGGAAATTGGCCAGGTAATGAATGGTCTTTAGTTTTAAATTATATAAGACTACATTTAGAGATTAATGCCTGTAAGATAAAAGATAAAAAAAAAATTAGAGAACACTAAAAGATTTATGCAAGAACAATTTAATTTTGTTAGGCACCCTATTTATTTTCCATAAATTTCATAAACCCTCCATATAAGCTACAAGTGGAAAACTAACCTATGGAATATTAGCGTTAGAAATGGTACAATTTTACTGACAAATTAGAAATATACTTTCCCATTCCTTTCATGTTTTAAATATTGTGAGGGCGTTTAACTTCTGGTTCAAACTCAAAAGTGCGGAAGTTTTTTGTATTTTATAAATTTAAACCATTGCATTACGATGCCTCAAGATTTGAGACAACCAAACCATGTAATCTAATGTAACTGGAATATCTCAAAGCTTTTGCGCCAAAATACGCACTTGATACTAGAAAACCCTAGTGTTTTCTGCATGGAATTTTTATTTTAGCCTTAAACTATTTTTTTAGAATTGAGAACTCTGGTTTTCTTAATCATATATTTTTTTACCAAATTTCTTAGACACCATGCAAATATTTCAAACTGTGAATTCTGTTATAAATATTAAAGATTTACACAAACAGGTTGCAAAGATTAGAGTTTGTGACAAAGACTTTAAATTTCTCTGTAAAATGGTTTCTAGGTTTCTCGAGGAATTGATTCCATCCATCCTTCAGCTCCAGGACTCATTCTCCTTTATCCATCTCCGGAGTAATCCAACCCGGACTCATTCATTCTTTTCCGGAGAGAAGGAGTAATCCAACCAGGACTCATTCATCCTTCTCCGGAGAGAAGGAGTAATCCAACCAGGACTCATTCATCCTTCTCCGGAGAGAAGGAGTACTCTAACCAGGACTCATTCATCCTTCTCTGGAGAGAAGGAGTAATCTAACCAGGACTCATTCATCCTTCTCCGGAGAGAAGGAGTAATCTAACCAGGACTCATGTATCCTTCTCCGGAGAGAAGGAGTAATCTAACCTGGACTCATTCATCCTTCTCCGGAGAGAAGGAGTAATCCAACCAGGACTCATTTATCCTTCTCCGAAGAGAAGGAGTAATCCAACCAGGACACATTAATCCTTCTCCGGAGAGAATAGGAGTAATCTAACCAGGACTCATTCATCCTTCTCCGGAGAGAAGGAGTAATCTAACCTGGACTCATTCATTCTTCGGATGAAAATTATCTGAAACTTTTTTAGTTAAGTAATATTGAGATTGTTACATTTTTTCCTTGTTGAAGTGGTTCTGAACCTTAATATTGTATATTAAATATTAGATAATTTATTTTAGTTTTATAGGTCGCATTGGAAATATGTTTATTTTTTTAGTAATTTTGATAATATGCGAAAACAAAATTCATATATTGTGATAACCCGTGATTTTTATGTTATTTCACCAAAACTTTTCTTCTTTCCATCTGAACTGGCTTTCAACTGAATATTTTTTGTAGTTTAATTTAATTTACTGGGCAACTGGAACAAAATTATCTTTGACATTTTGTAAAGGTGTAATTTTAGTATATTTAATTAAAAAATGTTATCTATCCTTTTGCAGAATAAAAAATCAATTATAACATGTCTTTGATTTGTGAAAAACTAAGAATTTAAAACATGTATTTTGGTATTTTCAGACAAAACGTTGAAAAATCTTTAGAAAATTAGAATCTTGGAAAACATGGGTTTACTGGTNAGATTTCATGAAAATTGTTCGTTGATTTTTCAAATATTCCTAAAACTGTAGAAGATTTTTTTAAATTTTGAGCATCCATAAACATTCCCTGGGGTCATGTCAGGTCCCACACAATCGGTTCAGCCCTTTTGACGTTTAGTGGATACAATCAGACAGACAGTGTATAGATGTAAACAAAATATGAAAGTAATGAACTTTTTTACCCAATTTCAAGTGAAAATTCACAAAGGTACCCCTTGTCTGATTAAAAATGGAGTTAGCCTTGTTTAGCTTTCTGACCATTAAATATTTCCAACCGAGTTTCTCTAAAAAAGTTTCTTGCGGGTTTATGAACCAGAGACGAGGAATAAAATTTACAGAATTTTACATCTTATCGAATGACAAAACGAAGTATGGAAACATAAAATATTGCTCTTGGTTGAAAGGAAGAAAAGATACAGGGTGTTCCAAAATTGACTTTTAAAATTATTGGTTTTAAGATTACAAAAAAGCAAGTTCAGCAATTTGATTGTGACCAAACTTTCTTTACAGTAATTCCCAAACCTTGTACACTAAAGCTGAGACACCCTGTTCCATAAAGTACATATGTCGCCGAGTGTACTAAAGTTGAGACAACCTGTTCAATAAAGTACATAGTTGCCGGGTGTACTAAAGTTGAGACACCCTGCTCAATAAAGTACATAGTTGCCGGGTGTACTAAAGCTGAGACACCCTGTTTAATAAAGTACATAGTTGCCGGGTGGGTTTCATGAGAAATGTTAAGAATTGATGAACTTCTGATATCTCTGATTTGAATCTTTGGGTTTGTCCATTGTTTGAATTGAAATTGGACATTACGTTATCGTTCTTTGATTGATTGTAGTTTAGAGGGGACTAAAAAAATTATTTTAACTTTTTTATTTAATTATTTTACATTGAAAATTTTTCACAAATCCGCTTTCAACTATTCTACCAATTTTTTTATTTTTATTACACAAGTTCGATATTTTGATCGGATTATTAACATAGATCCCTGGATCACGGTCAGTTTACTCAAGAACCTATACTGATCTAGTCATTTGGCAGAACATTTATGCTTTAGAGAGTAAATCCGACAATAGTTGACAATCTTGATCTCAGCTTTCTCCTTATATAGTCAATGAAAATAAATACACTTATAGTTTGATCTTAAACAAATACAGAATTAGTGGAAATTAAAACTTCATTTCTTCGTTCAACGAGTAAAGTTTGGTTCTCTTTCTCCATACAAACTATAACCTTGGTTATCTTTCTACATTCAACCTGTAAACCTTGGTTTTCTTTCTTCATTCAACCTGTAAACCTTGGTTTTCTTTCTTCATTCAACCTGTAAACCTTGGTTATCTTTCTTCATTCAACCTGTAAACCTCGGTTCTCTTTCTCCACCTAACCTATAAACCTTGGTTTTCTTTCTTCATCCAACCTGTAAACCTTGGTTCTCTTTCTTCATCAAACCTGAAAACCTTGGTTTTCTTTCTCCAGACAAGGTTGGACAAAGAGAGAGAAACAAGGCAAACATGTTGGATAAAGAAAGAGAACTAAGTTGTTCAGGTTGGATCAAGGAAAACCTTGGTTCTCTTTCTCCATCCAACCAGTAGACCATGGTTCTCTTTCTTAATCCCACCTGAAAACATTAATTATCTTTATTCAGCCAACTTGTAAACCTTTGTTCTTTTTCTGCTTCCAGCTTGTAAACCTAAGTTCTCTTTCTTCGTACAACCTCTATCCCTTGGTTCTCTTTCTCTATGCAACTTCTAAACCATGATTATCTTAGTCCAACCTGCGTCCAACCTGTAAACATTGGTCCTTTTCTTCATTCAACCTGTAAACCTTGGTTTTCTTCATCAAACCTGTAAACCTTGGTTTACTTTCTCCACCAAAATTTAAACTTTGGTTCTCTTCCTTCATCCAACCTGTAAACCTTGGTTTTATTTCTTCATCCAACCTGTAAGCCTCGGTTCTCTTTCATCATCTAACCTAAAAACCTTGTATATTTTTCCTCCATCCAACCTGTAAACCTTGGTTCTTTTTCTTTCTACAACCTGCAAACCTTGGTTCCCTTTCTTTATCCAACCTTTATTCTCGTTCTTAACCTTTAAACCTTGGTTCTTTTTCTCCATCCCACCTGTAAACCTTGGTTTTATTTCTTCATCCAATCTGTAAACCTTGGTTCCCTTTCTTCACCCAAAAGTTGGCCTTGGCTTTATTTCTTCATCCAACCTGTAAACATTGGTTCTATTTCTCAATTCAACTTGTAAACCTTGGTTCTCTTTATTCACCCAACCTGTAAACCTTGGTTCTCTTTATTCATCCAACCTATAAACATTGGTTCTATTTCTCAATTCAACCTGTAAACCTTGGTTCTCTTCCTTCAACCAACCCGTAAACCTTGGTTCTCTTTATTCACCCAACCTGTAAACTTTGGTTCTTTTTCTTTCTATAACCTGTAAACCTTGGTTCCCTTTCTTTATCCAACGTTGGTTCTTGTTCTTCACTCTAACTTTAAACCTTGGTTCTTTTTCTCCATCCCACCTAGGTTCTCTTTCTTCATTCAACCTGTAGATTTTGGTTCTCTTTTTCATCCAACCTGTAAACCTTGGTTCTCTTTCTCCATTTAACCTGTAAACCTTGGTTCTCTTTCTTCATCCAACCTGTAAACCTTGGTTCTCTTTCTTCATGTCAACCTAATGACCTTGGTTCTTTCCCTTTATTCACCCAATCTATAAACCTTGGTTATTATTCTTTCTACAACCTGTAAACCTTAAGGTTCCCTTTCTTTATCCAATATTGTTCTCTTTCTTCATCCAACCTGTAAACCTTGGTTCTCTTTCTTCATTCAACCTGTTGATTTTGGTTCTAGTTCTTTATTTAACCAGTAGATTTTGGTTCTAGTTCTTCATTCAAACTGTAAACCTTGGTTCTCTTTCTCCATCCAAACAGTAAACATTGGTTTCTCCATCCAACCTGTAAACCTTGGTTCTTTTTTTTCGTCCAACCTGTAAACCTTGGTCCTTTTTCTCCATCCAGCCTGTAAACATTGGTTTCTCCATCCAACCTTTAAAGCTTGGTCCCCTTTCTTCATTCAACCTGTAAACCTTGGTTTTCTTTCTTCATTTAACCTGTAAATCTTGGTTCTCTTTCTTCACCCAATCAGTAAACCTTGGTCCCCTTTCTTCATTCAATCTGTAAACCTAGGTTCTCTTTCTCCATCCAACCTGTAAACCTTAGTTCTCTTTTTTCATCCAATCTGAAAACATTGATTATTTTTTTCACCCAACTTGTAAACCTTTGTTCTTTTTCTTCTTCCAACCTGTAAACCTAGTTCTTCATATAACCTGTAAACCTTGGTTCTAGTTCTTCATCCAACCTGTAAACCTTGGTCCTTTTCTTCATTCAAGCTGTAAACCTTGGTTCTCTTTTTTCATCCAACTAGTAAACCTTGGTTCTATTTCTTCAGTCAACCTAATGACCTTGGTTCTTTCCCTTTATTCACCCAATCTATAAACCTTGGTTATTATTCTTTCTACAACCTGTAAACCTTAAGGTTCCCTTTCTTTATCCAATATTGTTCTCGTTCTTCCCCAACCTGTAAACCTTGATTCCTTTCTTCGCCGAACCTGTAAACCGTCCTTTTCCTTTTCTCCAGATATCCATTAAACCAACCATACATGATTATCGAAACTGAAATGTCGTCTTTTTCTAAATAAAATTCGAAATTAAATTCATTGAGACCAAGAAAAAAACCTTACTTAAATATCATTCAATATATCCATCTAAATTTCAAATTTTCAAAAACTTCTCCAAAAATAATGAATTTTGACAGATCCACTGATCCAAACCAAATATTATCAGGGGTGGGAGAGTTTTATTTTGCAGACCAAACTTTTGAAAATATTTTTGAAGCTGCAAGTGCAGCCACATTTCGTGTTATCTTGAGGTTAATGTTAAGCTTTAACTATAAATAATTATTTATTGTTCGTGCTTTTAAATCTTCTGTATGTAAAATGAAATCAAGTATGGCACTATTTGCGTCGCAGACCTAGATTTTTACATATATTATATTTGCGATATGTAGTTTAAGGACACCGTTTATAAACACTTGTAAAATGTGGGTCTGTCCTAGTATACGATTTTGACCCCCCCCCAGGCCTCCCCCCTCCTATCAATTTTGTACATGCCCATTTATTTTTCAGCAAATTTATTATTATTTATTTTTTTGTTATTTAGGGTTAGGTTAGGTTAAATAAGAATAGGTTTAATGAGAGGCAAGAACCAACTGAAGACCTATAATAGTAAGGAGAAGATAAGAATAGGTTTAATGAGAGGCAAGAACCAACTTAAGACCTATTGTAGTAAGGATAAGATACGGTTTAATGAGAGGCAAGAACCAACTGAAAACCTATTATAGTAAGGAGAAGATAAGAATAGGTTTAATGAGAGGCAAGAACCAACTTAAGACCTATTGTAGTAAGGATAAGATAAGGTTTAATGAGAGACAAGAACAAACTGAAGACCTATTATAGTAAGGAGAAGATAAGAATAGGTTTAATGAGAGGCAAGAACCAACTGAAGACCTATGAAGATAAGAATAGGTTTAATGAGAGGCAAGAACCAACTGAAGACCTATAATAGTAAGGAGAAGATAAGAATAGGTTTAATGAGAGGCAAGAACCAACTGAAGACCTATTGTAGTAAGTATAAGATAAGGTTTAATGAGAGGTAAGAACCTTCTGAACACCTATTGTAGTAAGTAAAAGATATGAATAGGTTTAATGAGAGGAAAGAACCAAATGAAGACCTATTGTAGTAAGTAAAAGATAAGGTTTAATGAGAGGCAAGAACCAACCAAAAAAATATAAAAAATTTAAATTAAAGGAAAAGGAAATGAAATAAAAGGATGAGAGGAATAGACTTACTAAAGACCTATTGTAGTAAGGATAAGATAAGACTAGGTTTAATGAGAGGAATAGACTTACTAAAAACCTAATGTAGTAAGGATAAGATAAGACTAGGTTTAATGAGGGAATGGACTAACTAAAGACCTATTGTAGTAAGGATAAGATGAGACTAGGTTTAATGAGAGGAATGGACTAACTAAAGAACTATTGTAGTAAGGATAGGATAAGATTAGGTTTAATGAGAGGAATGTAATAACTAAAGACCTATTGTAGTAAGGAGAAGATAAGATTAGGTGTAATGAGAGGAATGGACTAACTAAAGACCTATTGTAGTAAGGATAAGATAAGATTAGGTTTAATGAGAGGAATGTACTAACTAAAGACCTGTTGTAGTAAGGAGAAGATTAGGTTTAATGAGAGGAATGTACTAACTACGGACCTATTGTAGTAAGGAGAAGATTAGGTTTAATGAGAGGAATGTAATAACTACAGACCTATTGTAGTAAGGAGAAGATTAGGTTTAATGAGAGGAATGGACTAACTAAAGACCTATTATAGTAAGGATAAGATAAGAAAAGGTTTAATGAGAGGAATGGACTAACTAAAGACCTATTGCAGTAAGGAGAAGATGAGAAGAGGAGTAAGACGAGGATGTGTAAGACTACGAGGAGCTGTTGTTGGAATAGATGATGAAGATGATTCAACTTTCACTGTCACGGTCGACAACAAGACTTTCCATTTCCAGGTAAAATTATTTTTTTCTCACTTTTTACTCTGTCAAAGGTTTTTACTTCAGTTTCTTGGGATCATTTTGTTCCCGTTTCAGATTCATTGCGTTCCTTGTCATTTCATTGTGTTCCTTGTCAGGTTCCTTGTAAGGTCCATTATGCTCCTTGTCAGGTTAATTGTGTTCCTTGTCAGGTTCATTGTATTCCTTGTCAGGTTCATTGGGTTTCCTTGTAAGGTTCATTGTGTTCCCTGTCAGGTTCATTGTGTTCCTTGTCAGGTTCACTGTGTTCCCTGTCAGGTTCGCTGTGTTCCTTGTCATGTTTATTGTGTTCCTTGTCATGTTCATTGTGTTCCTTGTAAGGTTCATTGTGTTCCTTGTCATGTTCATTGTGTTCCTTGTCATGTTCATTGTGTTTCTTGTCATGTTCATTGTGTTCCTTGTCAGGTTCACTGTGTTCCTTGTGTTGTTCATTGTGTTCCTTGTCAGGTTCATTGTATTCTTGTCAGGTTCATTGTGTTCCTTGTCAGGTTCATTGTGTTCCTTGTCATGTTCATTGTGTTCTTTGTCAGGTTCATTGTATTCCTTGTCAGGTTCATTGTATTCCTTGTCAGGTTCATTGGGTTTCCTTGTCAGGTTCATTGTGTTCCTTGTCATGTTCATTGTATTCCTCGTCAGGTTCATTGGGTTTCCTTGTAAGGTTCATTGTGTTCCTTGTAAGGTCCATTGTGTTTTTTGTCCGTTCCATTGTGTTTCTTGTCAGTTCCATTGTGTTCCCTGTCAGGTTCATTGTGTTCCTTGTCAGGTTTATTGTGTTCCTTGTCAGGTTCATTGTGTTCCCTGTCAGGTTAAATTTGTTCATTTTCGATTTCCTTTGTCTTTTGTGTTAGTTTCGAATTTATACTGTTTCTTGACAATTTTATTTTGTCCCAGTTTCACGTGATTACTGGGGTCGATCAGCAATATCAGGAAAGAGTTCTGAAATTCCCCCCCCCCCCTGGTTGGAGAACCCAGACCGTCATCGGGAAACACCCGGTCTACATATATTGAGTCTTTAATTTGTTGAGTTCTCTGTCGAATTCCTTTAGTTCCTATTCGAGTCTTTGTCGAAATCTACGTTAAAGTTCTTGTTTTGTGTTGAATTGTTTTCCAATTGTATCTTCAGGCGAAGGACGCCGAGGAGAGAGAGAAATGGATTCGAGCTTTAGAGGACACAGTTCTTAGACATAATCAGATGAAAAGAAGGTCCGTCATATATTCATTCTTTAATATTATCATCTATTTTCTTGTATCCTAAGTGTATTTCTATGTGTATTTTTTAAAAATAGGGTGTTATCAATTTTTGAGGTGTTTAATCATCCAATTTTAAAAGAAGATTTTTTTTAAGAATTATATTTTTTGCCTCAAAGAAAAATTTTTCAAAGTGTATGCAGGAACATTTGCGCGCCACGACTTTTGTTAGGGGTTTTCACTGAATTCATGAAAAAATTATCCAAATTTTTTTAATTCTGTGAAACATATACCCCTCACAAGAATCTTTACTTTTCCTCCATTATTTTCTCAACCTTTTGTTGATGTTAGAGAATTATTATTGTTAATACATCTAGGGTTATTGGTAATATGATATTCTATTGTCCAGTGTGTACTCTACAATATTAAAACAGCTGTTAATCGAGCAGATGATTTATAAACTATTGTTTTTATATTGTGAATAATCAGAGGTAAAACAGACACACCTATTTAGTTAATATACTAATAATACTAGACTCAAATAGTTAACCTTGTATTGTTCGTTTGTACGGATGGGATGGGGATGTTTCTATCAACAAGTAAAACGTTATGTTATCTAAATTTGAATATTAACCTGTGGATTACCTAAAATCATTGTTTGTTTTTCTGTTTTCTGTTTTTATGTTCAATCATAACTCTTAAACCCCTTGATCGTTAATTTGCCTCAAATTTTGATTGGGTTACTCATTAGAACGACAGAAATGTTCTTAGCTTGGTTTTAAAATTCTAAGTGGAGTGGGTTGACTCTCAACGGGAAGACTTATATTTCAGATAATGCTGGGTTCCCAAGCTAATATGACTAATTCAATAATTTAATATTTATCAATATTTTGAATGTTTTTGTTTAGATCTGCGTCCAGTTCCCGCAGGGTTGGTGTTAAAATGGAGGATTTTGAACGGAAGCTGTCTGAAACAGATGCTTACCTTCAGCTTCTTATTGATCAAAATACAGTCTTGCAGACCAAGGTAAATATTAGTTAAAAATAATTTTTTAAGTACACTTAGCTCTTCTTAAATCAGTGCTTAGGATCCATTTAATTTTGATGCGGGTCCGGATCCGGGTCATTCCTTTAAGATTTACTGAATTTTTTAACAAAAAATAATTTTCAAATTTTCTCTTTTATTTCAAAAGTTCAGAGTTGGGTTTTAGGAGTAAAAAAGTTTTTTTTTCAGTTTTTGGTTGATATTTTACCCCTTGAATCCGGATCCGTGGATCCGCATATTTTTGCGGATCCGGATCCAGGAAGCAAAAATCTTGCGGATCCAACGGATCAGGATACCAAGAACTGCCTTAAATGCAATAAAATGTAGCTTTGTACCAGTGAGATTGAGATTAACTCATTTAGACCGATTTAAATTAGTTTAAATTGTTCATTATAACCATGAATTTGTTTAAACCAGTTCTGGAGTACGATATGAGCAGTTTGAATCTCTTACATAAGTAAATCTAAACGTCCTGTAAGGTTTCTAAAAAAATAATTGTAATACCGTATTTTACTAAGATAAGAACCTGGTGTTGTAAACCAGGTTCCTTGAATGGAGTAGAACAATTTGTAGAATCATTAGGACTAATTTTATTTCCTTTCCAGATTCATTAGATCCACATTTTGGATCCGGATCCGCAAAAATATAAGGATCCATCTAAACCTTAAATTTTGCTAATAATACTAACAAAAATTTCCACATTTCTGAATGGTTTACCAAGTTTCAGCAAGAAAATAAGCAAAAAATGTTTGTACATTTTTCATTTTTCATTCGTCAAAAATCAGTAAATCTTGAAGAATGTTCGGGGCCTGGATCCGAATTTTTTTTTTCCAGGGCGGATCATTCCTGGATCCGGATCTGCATCAAAATGAAATGGATCCTAAGAACTGCTTTACTCAATAAGTAAAAAAATCTATCTACCAAAGGGGTTACACTTATCGATTATTAGTTACTTGAATGAAGCAAATATCTTAAAGTAGACACAACCTGTCTTATAATTAGAGATTAAAATGATATTTAAATAAAATGTAGAAATTCAACTTGGATTGATGAGGTAACATTCTATTTTACAAGGCTGATGCATGTACGGAGGAGGAGAGTAAAGAGAAATATGTCTCCCTGTCAGATCGTGTCAATGATATGGTCGAGACAGTCAAGCATGCCATCGTCCTGCTTCAGATAGCTAAGGTAAGTTTTTGTAATTCTAGACTTTTCGGACCATTTTTAAGAATTAAAAAAAAACTTTATCATGTGGTTGAATGTATGGTTCAGAAATCGGAGTTTTATCCATTCCATTGGGACTTAATCCAGATCTGGATTCAGCTCTTTTTCGTTCTTTTTTCGGTTTATTTATAAATAAAAAGTCTGAATTGGTCCGTTCGAAAATGTTTTCAAAGAAAAAAAAGTTTTCAGTATATTTCATCACCTGTTTTCGGAGCCAGATTAGAAGCGATGTATGTTTATTTGATTTTTAAATATTTAAATTTTAATTATTTTTACTTTTTGGTTTTAGAACGCATCTTGTCCTCCGGAGGGAAGCGATGATCTTGTGATGGTTCATTCTACTCCAGAGATAGGTCAACATGAATCTTCTCAGTTCTATACAAGGTACTAAACCAGGAGGGCTATATCGAATGCATTGTACAATGTACATCTTGTGAAATGTAAGCAGGGGTCAAGGGTTCGTGGGATTTTTTTACTCCAACTCTATCCGAGAACTTAACATTTGTTTTTACACTCCGCTTTACTTTCATAACCTTAAACAGGTTATCCAGCGTAGCACAGTCATAGTTTTTCCGATGTACTCCAGAAACCATGGATTCAGGGGGTTATACCACCATTTTTGGCGGAGATATTGAAAAACTTTTCGTATATTATCAGAATATCTAAAATTTCTTTATTTTAGTGCTGAGGATGCATTTTCTGATCGTATTGTGGAGGGTGTAGTGGAGGGTAGTGAGTGTAGAGAGAGACGTAGCCAAGAGATTAATCAGGTAAACTAGAGGAACCATCTCTCAGGTAAACCTGGAGACTAGAGGAACCATCTCTCTGTCTCAGGTTAAACCAGAGACTAGAGGAGCCATCTCTCAGGTAATCCTAAAGACTAGAAGAACCATCTCTTTGTCTCAGGTTAAACCAGAGACTAGAGGAACTATCTCTGTCACAGGTTAATTAACCCAGAGAATAGAGGAACCATCTATTGGGTGAATTTTGCGATTAAAGGAATCAAATATCTGCTGAAAGACTGGGTCACGATGTTTGGTGTTTTTCTAGTATTTTCATAAATAGTACATAGATTTTATTATACTCTAGGTGTGTTGAACGAGTACATAATTTTGTTTATGTACTCTAGGTGTGTTGAACTAGTACATAATTTTGTGTATGTACTCTAGGTGTGTTGAACTAGTACATAATATTGTGTATGTACTCTAGGCGTGTTGAACTAGTACATAATTTTCTGTATGTACTCAAGATTTGTTGAAATAGTACATAATTTTGTGTATGTACTCTAGGTGTGTTGAACTAGTACATAATTTTGTGTATGTACTCAAGATTTGTTGAAATAGTACATAATATTGTGTATGTACTCTAGGTGTGTTGAACTAGTACATAATTTCGTGTATGTACTCTAGGTGTGTTGAACTAGTACATGAAGAAATGCAGAGAATAATCCAACATTGTGGGAATGAGGTCCAACAGGAAATGTTAAGGTAAGAGTGTTAATATTGTAATTGTATATACTATATATATATATATATATATAGATCATTCAAAGCTCGAAAACAGAACATTTTAATTTCAAGGATGCAATTGATTATATTTACGTGAATTAGTTTTCGTGGGACAAAGTTTTTATTTTCCAATCTGTCCAGGTGTTAAGGTCTGCTGTGTCCCCGAGGTCGGGTATGTCGACACTGATGAATAATTCTATACCTGCAGTCTCCTACTCATCCTCAGACGACGATGAAGAAGACTTTTTTGATGCAGAGGTTAATTTTTTATCTATTATACAAAATTAAGTTTATTTTTGTTTGACAAAAAAATAACGTAATATCAAGTATTCACAGATTCACATCTATAATGTCCACTACTGTCTGAGTAAAAATAATGAAAATATCCTCGTTTTTCTATCTTAAAATTTCTAATTTCTTTCTGTGGTTTCTCCACAACGATAACTTGCGCTTCTATACTTAAATACAAAGAACGTCATTTACAGAATTGAACATTTTTGAAGATGAAAAACACCGATTTTGGTAAGACATTAGCTTTAAAGGGTACTGCGGTGAATCTTTTTGAATAGAAGATTTTCAGTCTTTTAAATGTCAAATTTATCAAACTTTGAGAAAAAATATATTTTATAAAACTTTATTTTTGATAAACAATGATTATTTTTATTTTCCTGTTTCAAGGACGACGATAATTTATCCCCTAAAGATGGCGGAGAAAATATCCGCGACGATGTTGAATCTAGAACAGAATCCAGTCAGGACTTAGTGAACCCCGTGAGCCCCTTAACACCCTCGGAGGTTGACTGGGACGCATTGTACGAGGAGGATGAGGAGGAGGATGAGGTTGATATGAAGTCTCATGGATCAGTTATAACGCATCTTTTATCTCAGGTTGGCACAATTTTTAGTAATCGTGCAGGATAAACCCTAATTAAAGTCGTCTTTGTTTAATATTTTTATTAGAAACTAGTTTGGAAACCCAACTTTAAACAGAAGTTTGAAGAAAAAAAATCCACACCAAGCTAGTTTTAACGAGTTTCTCATGAGTTATGATCGGAATGGAAAACAAACAGAGATTCCTACTTTATACTTTATGTATACTGTAGATGTAGATTGTTTTGAATTATAGATTTTGTAAATTTTTAACGGGTTGTTCTGATTTATCTCTGAAAATATTCAATGTCCAAAGCAAATTTTCAGAATTATATAAGAGTGGAAAATTTCAAAATTCGGATCGAAGTTTCTAATTATAAGACTTTTACTGGTCATAACCGTAGAATAATAGTTTTCCAACAATTTAAAAATGTTAGAATCATGATAAAGAATCACCCTTTCTCATTTTAAATTTTTGCTTCAATATTTAGGTGAGGATCGGGATGGATTTAACAAAGATCGTTCTTCCAACCTTTATCCTTGAGCGTCGATCCTTGCTAGAGATGTACGCAGACTTCTTCGCACACCCGGATATATTCGTCGAGATCGCAGAGAAGAAAACACCGGAGGAGAGGATGGTTCAGGTCAGATATCGATAAATAAAGTTGGAAAATCATGGAAAAAATTTTACCTTATAAAACCCTGAAAATTCTCGTTGTTAAAATGATTTCAGGTTTTTGTATTTAAGATGAAAATGATCGATCAGTTTTTTGGTTAACTTTCAGTTTAATATTTTAGTCGACTGAAAAGCATACAAATAAATAATTGTGAATTTACTTTCTGGACAGAACTCGCAAAACAAGAAAAAGATATTTTGATTTATTAGCTTAAGTAAAAAATGTTTTATTTCTCAAGGTTTTAAAATGGTATCTCTCTTCCTTCCACGCAAGCAGGAAATCCTCCGTGGCCAAGAAACCTTACAATCCTATCATCGGAGAGATGTTCCGTTGTCATTGGAACCTACCGGAGCCGGAGACGAAGCAACCAGGAGCTCAACCCGTTCCCGGAGTCCCTATTCCCTGGTGTTCACAGAACGATCTGGTCTTCATTGCGGAGCAGGTTGGAATCATCAAATTTTTATATTAAACTCATCGTGGATAGTAATCATTTTAATTTTATTAACAAAGAGGGATTGAGACTCGTATAGAGTAGGTTTATATTAAAAGTGTCAGAAATGGTTCAGTTCCGGACCAACCACAGAGCAGTAAGTCTCCTTTCGGGATTATGGGGGCCCGGATTTGACTTTAGGCGGCTATCTACATTCTACACGGTGGTAAATAGCGCCCTGGAGGAAGTCTTCGGGTTCCACTTTTGTTTCCCTTTCAGAAATCCACTTGATTTAATTTGATGTTTATAATATGTATCCAATTGGATACGTTATGTTATGGTGGTAAAAGAGTGCCGGTCCAATTTCACTGGACGACAGATTGTCTTAAATAATAAAAAAAAATATATTTATAACAGTCATTAATTATTAGGTGTCGCATCATCCTCCTGTGAGTGCCTTCTATGTTGAGTGTGGAGCAAGAAAGATATCATTTAATGGGCATATTTACACAAAATCATCATTTCTCGGGGTCTCAGTAGCAGTACATAATCTAGGTCAGTAATATGATCTACGTCCATTTATTAGAATAGCATATTCATAGCGATAAATTTTGTACCTGTGAACAAATTACGAAGTTATTATAATTTTTGATAATTTTCAATTGTGGTTTCTCTTTGAAAATTACTCGTGGATTTATGTAGCAGAGAGCAGGAATGAATTGCATATTTATTTATAACGAATGGCCTCATTTGTCCTCTATATAAGCGTAAAGGATACCGCATGTAACTTTTAAAGTGAGGCATCATTTATATATCCTTGTCTTTCAAAAAATATTATGGACAAATATAGTTCTCTATTTATTTTATTTTCCTTCAGGAGAAGGACGGGTTTCCTTGCAGGAGAGCGGAGAGGATTACGTTGTTACCTTCCCTTCAGGATACGGGAGGGGTATTCTAACCACTCCTTGGCTGGAACTAGGAGGGAAATGTGAGATAACTTGTCCACAGACAGGTTATAGGTAGGTTACTTGTTTGGATTGGATTGGATTTGGCAGTATTGATGTTTTGGCATTAAAAGGATGGCAGCCTAAGAAAATCAATGTTCTTAAGCATTTAATATTTGGAATCTATGCCCGGTATTTGTAGCTATTTTTTATCTGTTTCTCCATAATTGTTCCTTTTTTAATAAATACTTTTTTTAACCAATGAATTTATTTAAGTTAATGATACCATCAATTTTTTTTTATTTTATTGTAATCCGGCTTCTTCCTGTCCTTGTTCATGGAAATCAAGAATTTTGTTAGAAACAGTTTTTTATCATGTATTTGATGTTTAGGGCTGATATAGATTTTAAAGTAAAACAGTTCTGGAGCAATGAGGTTAATAAAATCAGTGCTGAGGTGTATGCTAAGGATACGAAGAAGCCACTAGTCAAGGTTAGTCCTATCGGCATCAAAGGTTATAGGAACTGTAAGTGTAATTTCAAGTGACCTTTCATCCAAAGATGGCACTGCCCGATTTACAACGGTTCCCTTGAAACCTTAATCTGAACAAAGATGTGGAAGATAACTTCGTTTTCCTCTGACAAAAAGTGATTAATTATGTTTAGACCAGACAAAGCGTTTAAGGGTACCGTTGTAAATCAACAATTGCAATCTTTACTTATAGGATCACTTGAAATTATACTAACAGTCCCTTTAAATGAGAAAATATTAAAGAAAGAATTTGACCCCCCTAAACCATGTTTATGTATTTCTAACTGTATCATAGCCTAGTAACAGCATCATATTAAATGTGTCTATAATTTATTTGAATGTTTAAAATTCAATACATACAAGTACCAAGGCATTAATAGATTCAAACCTTTCTGTGAGAATTAAAAGGGTAAAGAATATATGAATAACATTTGATCTTTAAAAGCTCAGTAAACCACATTAAAAAAACTTTAATACTCGTTTTGTCAGATGACTCATGGGAAATGCAAAACCAAAAACAAATTTTTGTTAAAGATTGAAACTCTGACCGCTTCAAATGATGCCTAAGCAATCCCTATAAAATATGATTTTATTTTATATAACAATAATCAATGATCAAGGTTGAAGGAGAATGGAACGGTAAGATGACCGGTAAATGGCAGAACGGGAAACAAGAAACATTCCTGGATGTAACACAGCTCCCGACCTGCAGGAAGAACGTCAAGCCAGTTGCGGACCAGGAGAAGTACGAATCAAGGTAATTATTAAACATTAATTTTGTATAAAAATGTTTGTTCTTTGCTTTTGTATTTTCTTTTTTTGATTTGATTAGAGTAACAAATTAACAATCTTGACAAATTTTTCATTCGACTCCATTAAAATGGTTTATCGGAGTTTTAAATATTTTTACGTTTTTTTAATGTTTATCAGTGCACTCATTTAAAGATTTATTTTTTAGACGTCTTTGGCGTGAAGTAACTGCTGGTCTCAAATCTGGTGATATTGAGGCTGCTACGGAAGCTAAATGTAGCCTCGAGCATAGACAAAGGACAGAGGCTAAGCAGAGGAAGGAGGACGACGTGAAGTGGGAGAATAGGATGTTTAGTCCTGTCGGAGAGAATTGGTATTTCACACAGTCTCTAGGAAGCAGGATATAATTGTCTTGTAGTTTCTAGATAGCAACGTCTATTCAAGGTTATATTTAAGACATCAAAGTCGTTGAGAACTCTCGGTAGCTAAGTTTATTTAGTGGAGAGGGAAACTTTTGAATGAGATAGATTTATATAAACTAGATAGATAGGTCGTTTGTGATGAAGTTCAGCATCTCTTGAAAAAAAACCCTCACATTTCCTTAAATCTTTCTGGGTTGGGTGTTAGCAAAATACCTAATTCATAAATTTCTAACTCTAAACATATCTTCCTGTATGCGCGTTAATTTCTACTTAGAAATATAATCTAAAAACCTTTCGGTCCTAACTTTATTAATCAACGGGTTGTCTTTTTATAACAATAATCGTTTTTTGGATAGAATTATTTAAAATAGTTGAAAATCATATTAACAAATGCGCGAAATTATTTCTCCGAAATCCTCCAAGTTGGCTAACTTGTACGAATACACCAATCAAATTTAAAGTCAGTAATAGAAAAGTAGTGAAAGAGGGCAGACCGAAATTAACTTTTAAAATTAACTTAGAAATATAATCTAAAAACTTTTCGGTCCTAACTTTATTAAACAACTATTTGTTTTTTATAACAATAACTATAATAGCAAGGCATGTTATCACTTAGCTACCTAGACTTTTCTGAGACTTACCCATCGAACAATCTCTTGGAATTTAAGAAAACTAAAGCTGTTTGTTCAAAACCGAAATAAGATTTTTCAACTCGCCATTTCGGCAATAAAATCCATCTATTACAGTTATTAAATCTTTAGAGCCGTTCATCAAACAATATTTTTAAATCTCGTATTCAGCAATCAGCATAATTTCTTATAGTCGAAGCAATTTATCTGTACACTTGTACGCTAGTAGTTACACCAACATGTAGAATGCAAACATTGAACAATTTAGAAGATTTTTGATATCAAAATGACTTTCCAGCGCGCCCCGAACTGAGATTATTAATTTTCTCAGAAATAGATTTGTGTCATGAAATTATCAATAAGGACTATTTATGATTTATAAAACGTAAAATGAACAATTTTTCACCACTACTGTAATGTTAGGTGGTATGTTAGAGGGACTATTAAGCAATCAATTTTTATTTTTTTACGTAACACAGTATGGCTGGTTTAAGTATTTTTTTTACCTTTTAAGTTTTACATTTATTACTTTTATAATTAAGATTGCTGACAAACGTTCCCCATCCATAAATCAAAAGTCTTGATCTGTTAGAAGCTATCAGCTATTAGGAATAAATTAGACTGTTATCGTCATTCTGTGCTGGGCCTTTAGAAATCTGCGAGTCACTTTATTGATCATAAAGAATACTACCTTTAAATTATATCTCATAATTTTTAATATCATTAATTGATGCATTCTTTTGTGATCGATGTGAATATTTGTAAAATTACAGATTTTTATCTCAACTAGACTTAAACATATGATAAGGCCACATTACAATATATTACAGACAGATAATGTTTTTCTTTTCATTCAATTGTTTAATAATGAACAATAAAATTATCGTTTATTCTTCATTTACGCATTTAAAAATATTTATTATCTAAACATACAAACAAAATTATTTTTATTTCTGTTTTAATTTATTGTGATAAGTTTGTGATAAAAATATATATGTTCAACTCGTTGTACCATAATATTAAATAAAATTTAATTATAAAGAAAATTAAAATCTACAGAATGTGACCACCCCATTTTCAAACTATATCACGGGTGTACGGACGGAGGTTCGAATGGCGCGCATGGCAGATTTGAAGATATCTTTTAAAGAATATACTGGCTTTCTCTGGGTTGGATCTTAACAATTTTACTCTGTTACATTTTAGTGTGAAAAAATATCAATATAAAACTATATTTTAGTATAATTGTTAAAAGAAAGGCTTGTGTTTTCATTGAACTGAAGAAATTATGTTTAAATTTAAAAAGTCCTGTATATAAATTGTCGCGATTATTATGTACATTTTGCAACATTATTTTTTCGCGAACATTTAATGACATTTTGTGAAAATGTCTTGTTATAAAATTTCTTGATTTCAGATAAAAGTGAAGTGAAAAATGGAGAGTCTAATCCCTGTAATCAACAAACTGCAGGAGAGAATTCAAATCGACATGAAAAAATTAATTATGATAACTAATAGTAAATAACTTGGTAATTTTCTAGGGAACGATTTTTTAAATCATCTTAGTCCTTAAACTCTACCACAAATGAGTGACGAAGCGAATTTTTATCCACATAATCTGCCAGAAAAAAGCATCTTAGCCCTTAAAATCTGCCATAAACCGCATTTTTATCCATAAAATCTGCCAAAAAAGCATCTTAGCCCATGAAATCTGCCACATAACGTATTTTTATCCATAAAATCTGCCAGATAAGCGTCTTAGCCCATAAAATCTCCTACAAACCGCGTTTTTTTTACAGAATCTGCCAGATAAGCATCTTAGCCCATAAAATCTGCCACAAAACGCATTGGTCTTTAAAATCTGCTACATGTGAATGCGTAAAACTTGCCACCAAATCTCGAGAGATCCCTGAAAAGTGTGATAGTGTATACTTGAACTATGAGATTATTATGCACATAAAAATAATCTGATGAGGAAAAAATGTAATAATGGAAATTCTTAAACGAAATGAAATAATCATGATGTATTCTTGGTAATTTCCTAGTATAAGATTTTTGGACAGGAGCGTGTAAGAATATATATTCTTCAACTAGGGTAATAATTTCCATTCTTTAATGCTTGGAGCGTGTAAGAATAAACATTCTTTCACGCTCTGACCGTGTAATAATTTCCATTCTTACGCGGTCTGAGCGTTATAGAATGAAAATTCTACACCTACAGTGAAAGAATAAGCATTCTTAAACGCCAGGAAACGAACAATATTGCAAAGTAGGTTTACTACTATGGAACCGAACAGATATGATATAATACAAACTCTTTTATATTTTGGAAATTTGGTATTTTTACAGATTTACATGTACAGAATCCAGTCAGTCTTATTCTTGCACTTATTGTTCTCCGAAGCTAAAACTTCTTTCTTTGTCAAATTATTTAATATATCATTTAACATAACTTCATTGAAGGCAGAAAGCCAAGTTCAACCTTCAGATAATTATTGTGAAAGAGCTGTAGATGGGCATTAACCTAGTTCTTTTTTTTAAACATTATAGTTTCAAGTATCTAAATTATCATTTGCTTTTCTTACATGATGCCCAATTTGTGGCAAAAAAAACTATTCGTTTTTGGTATTTTTTTACATTTTCCTTCAGGAAAAAATTCTTCAGAGTTTTAAAAAAGCAAACTTTTAATTTTACATGGATACAGAGGCGTATTCAGGGTTGGGGGGGGGGGCTAATAGGGGCTTAGCCCCCCCATGGACATGCGAAATCTATGGGTTTCAAGGGGTTTTCAAGTCCCAACTGGTGCTGAGCCCCCCTGGCCAATAATTTAACACGCCCCTGCGGCCTGCATCGATACACTTAAAATGTTGGATCCTTTACAAGTTCATAGTATTTGTGTGGTACCTATTCCCATCATACTAGCTGCATGTTGTCATTTTAGTCTCATTCTTTGTGGATAACCCTGTACGTACATGTTTAACTTGTGGTTTGAACCTCTAATGATGACAGGATGTTTTTAATACTGTTGGTGCCGACGCCATACAACTTCCACAGATCGTTATTGTCGGCAGCCAAAGCTCCGGCAAAAGTTCTGTCATTGAGAGTCTCGTCGGCCGCAGTATTTTGCCCCGGTAAGTAATTACTTGGTCTAGGGCATTTTTTTGTCAGATTTTTAATTATAATTAAAAAAGTTATGGTTCTTGGACAAATTTGTTTACAAATTAAAGATTAAATCCATCTTATCAAAACATCTTTTTTATTTTTTGAGTGACATATCTTACTCTTCACATTTCTTTAGTGATATTAATTCTAAACACACCAAATAAGTAAAATTTAACATTTTAATTTTTAAAGTAAAACAACTTTTTCTTTAGATCTACTAGATATGTTATAAACAATAATAAACATCATACCATATTTCAGTCTGAAATTCAAAATCACTCAATTATGTTTTAATTTGTACAATATTCCTAATTGAGTAATATGAATTCTAATTTATTTTAGAGGAACAGGCATTGTGACAAGACGACCGTTAATCCTTCAACTTGTTTACTGTCCAAGGGATGACCGTCAACACAGGTGAGTTATTATTATTTTACAATCTGTCAGGGGTGTATATTTGCTTGAAAATAATTGTTTTCTCCAGAAATATGTTTGCGCGTAATTATTTTTTTTTGTGGTTTTATACGCTTAATTGTGAAAATTAAAGGATTTTTAGGGAATAATATAAAGTTCAGAAAATATTAATTACGAAAATATTTTTTTAAAATTTTTTAATCACCATGAGCTAGACATTTAGTGGAAAGTTTTGTAAATTGTATTAACATGAATTTTCATATTTTAAACCCTTTTTTACTAAATCCAATCATATTTTGGATTTCAAACTTTCGTCCTTAAGATTGTATAAAAATGTTTAGATCAGCTGAGAAGGGAACAATTGATTGTGAGGAGTGGGTTGAATTTTTACACACCAAAGACAAGGTAAATAGTTTTGTTATTTAAAAAGAAATCAAATCAAATATTTATTACATAAATTATTTTGAGCAAAATTAATATCACACAAGAAAAAATTCTCATCAGGGGAAAAATCTTGTGGGCCAGGTTTTCAGAAGAAAAAAAAAACCCTGTAGTAATCTTTCTTTTAATACCCTTAATTCTTGTTTGGGTGATTCACTTGAAACCCACAAAGTTAAACATAACTTTCAATTTATCTTATCTTGTATTATCTTTGTATTTTTTGTATATTTTATAAATTTATTATTTATAACACTGTTATTTTGGTTCGCAGTGTTAAAAAGGTTTTTGACAGAAATGTTCTTTTTATCGAGAAGGTTCAAGTCTTTTTAGATTTAATTTTGTCCCTAGCTTTAGCGAGAGACACAATATAATCTAAAAAGGCGAGAACCTTCGAGATATAGAGATAACTTAAGGCAAACAACTTTAAAGCACGTCGTGGTAAAATAACAGTGTTATGGGTAATTTTATGAAACTTTTGTTTACTTGTCTTATTTCAATGGCTATTTCTAGATCAAATAAGCTTTGCAATATGAAGTTCATTTATTTTCGTTTCAATTGAAAAAAAATATATTGGAAATATCCCAAATTTTTTGGAGAAAATTAAATTGACGACAAAATGAGTAAGAATGATACAAGTACACAATAGTTTCATAAAATTCCTTACAGAGGTGTTGGTTATTATTGATACTTTCGATATAGAGTGAACAATCACTTTAATATTATTATCCTGTAGATCTACACGGACTGGGATGAGGTGCGGAAGGAGATAGAACGTGAGACTGACAGGATGGCTGGAGGGAACAGAGGAATATGTCCTGAAGCCATCTCTCTTAAATTCTACTCTGTATCTGTTCTCAGTTTAACTATGGTGGATCTACCAGGCCTGACGAAGGTGAAATGGTTTATAATCCGTATTTCATTAAAATAAGTGACCCTTCATTTGTAGATTGGTGTGTCCGATTCACACCTTTAACTGATCAAGGATAATGGACTTTCTTTAGTATCCACAGAAACACTTATTTGTTGAACACCTTGTTTGCAAGTTAAAAAAAAAATATTAACATTTTTAAAAACCGCGTTAGCATAGAATATTAAGTACAACTTTACAAGTAGTGTCAGATAAGATCTTTGTTGATTGATTTTACATAGAGAACTGATTTAAAAATACGTGAACACACCCTTTATTTACTGTGTTTAGGTGGCGGTTGGTGATCAACCTGACGATATAGAAGCACAGATCCGTAATCTTATTTTTAAATTCATCCTGAATCCAAATTCTATAATCCTGGCCGTTAGCCCGGCTAATATGGACATGGCCACCTCGGAGAGTCTAAAGATCGCTCGAGATATCGATCCTGATGGTCGGAGAACACTAGCGGTCATCACGAAACTTGATCTCATGGATGCAGGTCATTTCTTAAAACAACAGCAGGATAGTGTTTAAAGAGCTCAGTAATTTGATTAAGTCAAAAATAATTGTGTACAATGCACACCCCTCTCTTGCTCTCTTTTAACAGGCATTTTCATTTATAAACGTTTATTTTTTTCCAAATTTTAAGTTTTAGCAACATGCAGAAAATGAATTAGATGATGGTCGACGTAATTAAACAGGGTGCTATCACGTCTGCAAACACCTTGTCACAACTCTTGTTTTACATAATTTTTTTCGCCTCACTTCTTGTTCTTCAATTTTCTTCTTTTGATGTAACTTCCATCCATGCTATTGGTTAAATTTTGAAAGAAAAGTTTTGTTGGACGTCTCAATAATCACTGATATATTATTGTCATTTATAATTTCGTCCATTACTCCTCCGAGATTAGTGTATTGTTATTCTATTTATAATATTTAATGTTTAGGAACTGATGCGATTGATATTTTGTGCGGACGAGTAATCCCCGTAAAGCTTGGAATTATTGGAGTTATAAACCGATCCCAGCAGGATATAATAGATCACAAGGACATAAAGGACGCAATCAAGGACGAAGCGTCCTTCCTTCAAAGAAAATATCCAACCCTGGCCACACGTAACGGAACTCCATATCTTGCCAAGACACTGAACCGTCTCTTGATGCATCACATACGAGACTGCCTACCGGAGCTGAAAACTAGAACCAACGTGATGGCGTCCCAGTTTCAGACCCTGCTCAACTCTTACGGTCAAGATGTAGTGGACAAGAACACGACGCTGCTCCAGATCATCACCAAGTTCGCCTCGTCCTACACCGCGACGTTGGATGGGACTGCGCGGAATATTGAAACATCGGAGCTATGTGGCGGAGCCAGGATTTGTTATATTTTTCACGAGATCTTTGGAAGAACTTTGGATTCCATCCATCCACTCACAGGTATTTATTATTAGATAAAGGGTGCTTCACGTTCCCCTTTCATAAGCTAGAGGATGAAATTTCTGTTTTAAAACTGGACTTCATGCACACAGATAGGTTTATTTTCTTCTCAACATTTCAACCTTAGGCGTTGGATACCTCATTAGTGTCAGATTTTAATAACTTCCCTGATTTAGCGCGTGAAACCCAGATTAAACGATTGTGCGATTTAATGTCAAATTTAGTCGCTGATGCTCAGCGCTATCCCGAACACAAGTTTCGCCCTTGGAGCAGTTTGGTGGATACAAATATAACACTCTAAGCTGCAAGCGGTACTTTTGGGGATTATTTGAATATTCATTCGTAATAGTTAAAACTAAATATCGTCGAAAAGCTTGTGTCAATCTGGCCTCAAAGAATTTAATGAATACGAATATCCATAAATCTACTGATAATTTGAAAGAAAAAAATATTTGCAATGAGACAAGGTGAGACAAGGTAATTGGGTTGTCTCAGCAAGGCCATATACTATATATTTGTTATTTTCACCAAGGCTGTCATAAGGGTACCGTTGTGAATCTGAACTGGACTTCTTTGAAATTACGCTTACAATCCCTTTAACTTAGAGGGTCAATTGAAGTTACGCCGACACCCCCTATCTTTTAAAGCAAAACTACAAAATAGTGTATTTAACATATTTCTAAGCGACATTAATAGTGTGAAACTTTATTATGAAATCCTTATCAATTTATTAACTTCCCAACTGAGCTTAATAAAATATGCATATTTTACTAAACATGATCACATTTTCCTTATTCAACCATTTTGTGGTAATCGTTGAAATAAAACATTCAGCCGCATGACGACAGGTAAAGGGTGTAAAATGGGATAATGATTTAAATCTGATATTTTTCTAGGTTTAACATCTATGGACATCTTGACCGCTATCAGGAACGCCAACGGTCCCCGGCCAGCTCTCTTTGTTCCTGAAGTTTCTTTTGAGCTTCTGGTTAAACGACAAATACGGAGACTAGAGGAACCCTCTCTCAGGTAAACCTGGAGACTAGAGGAACTATCTCTTAAGGTAAACCTGGAGACTAGAGGAACTATATCTTAAGGTAAACCGGGAGACTAGAGGAACTATGTTTTAAGGTAAACCTGGAGACTAGAGGAACTATCTCTTTAGGTAAACCTGGAGACTAGAGGAACCATTTCTTAAGGTAAACCTGGAGACTAGAGGAACAACCATCTCTCAGATAAACCTGGACACTAGAGGAACCATCTCTCAGGTAAACATGGAGACCAGAGAAACCATTTCTTAAGGTAAACCTGGACACTAGAGGAACCATCTCTCAGGTAAACGGTAAACCTGGAGACTAGAGGAACAACCATCTCTCAGATAAACCTGGACACTAGAGGAACCATCTCTCAGGTAAACATGGAGACCAGAGAAACCATTTCTTAAGGTAAACCTGGACACTAGAGGAACCATCTCTCAGGTAAACCTGGAGACTAGAGGAACCATCTCTCAGGTAAACCTGGAGACTAGAGGAACCATCTCTCTGTCTCAGGTTAAACCAGAGACTAGAGGAGCCATCTCTCAGGTAATCCTAAAGACTAGAAGAACCATCTCTTTGTCTCAGGTTAAACCAGAGACTAGAGGAACTATCTCTGTCACAGGTTAATTAACCCAGAGAATAGAGGAACCATCTATTGGGTGAATTTTGCGATTAAAGGAATCAAATATCTGCTGAAAGACTGGGTCACGATGTTTGGTGTTTTTCTAGTATTTTCATAAATAGTACATAGATTTTATTATACTCTAGGTGTGTTGAACGAGTACATAATTTTGTTTATGTACTCTAGGTGTGTTGAACTAGTACATAATTTTGTGTATGTACTCTAGGTGTGTTGAACTAGTACATAATATTGTGTATGTACTCTAGGCGTGTTGAACTAGTACATAATTTTCTGTATGTACTCAAGATTTGTTGAAATAGTACATAATTTTGTGTATGTACTCTAGGTGTGTTGAACTAGTACATAATTTTGTGTATGTACTCAAGATTTGTTGAAATAGTACATAATATTGTGTATGTACTCTAGGTGTGTTGAACTAGTACATAATTTCGTGTATGTACTCTAGGTGTGTTGAACTAGTACATGAAGAAATGCAGAGAATAATCCAACATTGTGGGAATGAGGTCCAACAGGAAATGTTAAGGTAAGAGTGTTAATATTGTAATTGTATATACTATATATATATATATATATATAAATATATATATATATTGTATTTTTATTTGTTTTTAAAAGTAGGGAAGTTTTCAGGGATTATTCCCTATTTTCCAAGTAATTGAACACTTCATTTATCAACTTTGTCTAGTACCCTTTACAATATTTAATAATTATCTGATTCTTTTTAAAAAAAATTTTTCAGGTTTCCCAAACTCCATGAGAAGATAATCGATGTTGTGACAAATCTTCTTCGTTCTCGTCTCCCCCCGACCAACGTCATGGTGGAGAACATTGTCGCGATAGAGCTGGCGTACATCAACACCAAGCACCCGGATTTCTTCAAGGATGCTGCTAGCATTGGTTCAATGCTAACCTCCCCAGATTTCGAAACAGATCCTAAAATGGTTTGTATTTATAAATATCTTATATTTTTAAGTTATAGTAATCTCCTAGTGTCTGCTCGTTTATTATTATTATTATTGTTATTGTTTGTATGTCCGATCATAACTCATAAACCCCTTAATCAATTTGCATTGGGAAACTCGGGAGAACCATGGGAATGTGCTTAGCTTGATTTTACAATTTTAAATTGATTGGGTTTACTTTTAAAGTGAAAATACAGGCAAAGCTGGGTTCCTAAGCTAGTTCTTTATAAAGTAGTAATCTCTGTTTTTCTGTCTGTTTGTGTGTCTGATCATGAGAACCCTTTGACCAACTTGAATCAAATTTTTATTGGGGAACTCGGGAGAACCACGTGAATGTAGCTTTGTTTAAAAATGACTTTAGTAGTGAAAACTTAGTTTCCAGACAAAGCTGGGTTTCCTAAGTTTTATTATAAAGTAAATTCAAGTATATTTGATGAAGATGACATTCATTATTTATTCTAAGTTGGAACACACTATGTGGAAAGAAAAGACTATTTTAAATCAATATTTGTTTCAAAATGGCGTTTTAAAATCTATTAAAAATTTAAAAATAAATTTAATTTAGATGCGAGGTAAGGGTGGAAATATTGACGGTAGATCTAACAGACCTAGACCCCAGAGTGTACAGTTTAATCAACATCAAAACGGAGATATAGGTATGAATGGTACAAAAGTACCAAAGAATTATTTTTTGATTTTTTTTTTTCATAATTCGAAGCATCGAAGTCAATTCAACTGTATGTATTTACTGGGGGGAAAATAATGTAAACTTGTAAAGCTAACTTCCTTTAAAAAGAATTTAAAAAAAAACATTTTTAAGCATAATTTATGTTAAATCAAATATTGTAATGAACATTCAAGGTGATTCAGATAAAGAGAATAGTCAACCAAGACGCGGCGCTAGTGTTTCCGGTGTAAGTGGCGCAGGACGTGAAAACGTGATCAACGCGAGCACGTGGCTAAGCAACATCCTGCCTACACCAAAGGAGGAGGAGAATAGGAGTAGGGATGTATCTCCAGGAGCTACTCCACAACATAGATCTCTTGCATTTGTCCAGGTTCAAACTTAGATAATTTTAGTTTAAGAAATATGAAAAAAAGAGTGTGCCAAAAGTTATCTTTTCCGACCCTCAAATGAAAGAGTTAGTACAGGAAAAAGTACTTTTTCAACAATTTTCATCTCTTTTTATGTTACTCAAAAATTTCCGCGCCATCTTTAAAAATCTCCAATGCTCTTGCAAAGGTTTAATGATTTGCTGAAAATTCTTTATTTGTAAGTTTAAAATTTAAACATCTTTATTTCAAAATAGCGACAAATCATTCATGCAGACGAAGGGAGAAGGCCAACCACAACAATTCCTAGTCCGAGCCACATTCTCCTCTTCTCGTCCGAGCCACCTTGAAATCCTTGTCCTTTTTATGTGTCCAATCCTTGAAGATGAGAATATTTTTTGAAAATCCGGCCACGTTAGGGCATACAACATGGCTAGACTAAAGTTTTGCAATGATTTTATTATGTTGGAATCTTCAAATCCATGAGAATGATGTCAAACTTTATTTAGGTTAAAACTTAAACCTCTTCTCCCTCCTTGTTTCCTTTAATTTCTTATTTTACCCCAATTTTGAATTTGGGATAGTTTACAACTATTGCCAATGCGTTGGTAAATTTTTTTTATGTTAAAACTGGGTATCGTTTGAATAAATTTTAGATTTAAATATCTTCAACTTTATAGATCGATCCTTCAATCAAGCCGCCTTGTCTCGCTCTTAGTTGTCTTTATTTCACATTCCTGTTTCAGGATCAGGAAGGACAAGGAGTGGTTTCCCCGGTGAAGCCGGTCAACCTACTTCCTGAGATTCCGGCGCAGACCGGTCGCAAGCTTAATGACCGGGAGCAGAGGGACTGTGAGGTTATCGAGCGCCTGATCAAGGCCTACTTCTATATAGTTAGGAAAAGTATCCAGGACTGTGTTCCTAAAAGTGTAATGCACTTCCTGGTGAACTACGTGAAGGACAACCTGCAGAGTGAGCTAGTAAGCAGCTTGTATAAGCAGGATCAGATCGATGTCCTCCTGAGTGAGTCTGAGCATATTGGGCAGAGAAGGAAGGAAGCAGCAGAAATGTTGGAGGCTCTACAGAAAGCAAGTCAGATAATCAGTGAAATCAGGGAAACCCATGTCTGGTAGTCACTTTCTTTTCTCAAGAAAGTCCTAATTGTAGATTTTCTACACCGTAGTTAAATTTGTTTATTTTCTATCGACTATTAGCGGCGGGTTTCGGCGTTCAAGACCGGCGGCTAGGTGATCAATCATGCATTATGAACAGAATTGGTCGCTGTGCAAGCTTAATAATTTTGCTAATCGGTTGGTTTATATGCCGTCGTTTGGGCTTTTTTTAGTCAGTATCTATCATAGTCCTTCAGTTAATTTCTATATATTGACTGCTTATGTACTTGGTACAATATCCTTTAATCATGCACAATGTAAACTGTTATAGATCAGTTTGGGCATATAAAACTCAACTTCCTCCTCGGTCAAAGTATTTTTTTCATAATTATGTACACTTTGATTCTATGCTGCATGTATAATGTACCGTCTTCAATCTACATGTATGAATTATGTTATTTTTTCGCATTTTATAGTGAATTTAAATCCAGTAGAAACCTACTTTGACTCCAATGTTTAAACTTATTAGTCTTTATAAAATTATAAATTATGATAGCAGCTGGTTAAACCAGCCCCCCCCCCTCAGTTTTTTAGCTCAGTTTAAGAAATGATTTGTTCTAGCAACCCCTCTTGCACAACGTACTCAACTAAAGTGCCATTTTTATTGATCTTAGCCTCAAAAATATAAATATGAAATATTAAATGTTATTTATTTTCTACATTTTACAGGAATTTTCACTTACCCAGGGACCAAATTTTCTGAATGGGAGAAGTGGTTGAACTACGTAGATTAAATTAAGCCACTTCTCAGCTTGACCTGCCGCAAAAGAGATTTTGTTGAACTGACAGTATGTGGTTCAACTGCTATTCGTTATATAACTCTAGTCTCTAGTCCCAGATTTACTTTCTAAGTGATGACTGATAAAGAACAAATGGTAGATGTGGTATTGTTAAAAGAACCTAAATATTTTTTGAAAAAAAATCCATTATAAAAGAAAGAGCAAAGACGGCAATATTTACACTGTTTAGTAGTAATCACATTGTAGTCTATAGAAATCCATGTTCTATATTTTGGCATGTTGTTGGGATGTATGAAAGATGAGAGATTGAATATACTTTATCGGAATCCTATTCCTCAGTCTTCAAGCTATATTTGCACAAACTTTGCAATAATGTATATTCTCCACTAAATTGAAACTAAACTGATACTAAGAAGGAAATGAAAAGGATGGATGAAATATATGGAAAGACAGTTTTCAGAAGACGTTCTGTTGCAGTTAAAACTACGGATTGTTTAATGCATAAACAAAAACTTCTCTTTATAAAACATTTTATCATAAGATTGAAAGATGCTGTCTGGAAACCCAGACATTTTTTATATCCCGTGGTTAAAATAGTGCTTAGGATCTATTTAGTTTTGATGCGGATCCGAATCCGCACTGAGAAGAAATGGAAATGAATCTGGATCCGGTTTAAGATCATAAACATTTCTTTAAGATTTACTGATTTTTTTTTGCCAAAAAATCAAAAAAGTGCACATTTTGGCTATCAGACGATCTTTTATTCGAGTCTCTCGCTTTTCACGATTAGTGGAACACTCTGTATTATGCTGTTATACAACTTCCGTAATAGATTGCGGATTTTCATACACTTATTCTTCAAGTAGTTAATATGATTCAGATTGTATAAATATGATTTTAATGTAAGCGGTTGGGAAAACATAGAAAAACAATAAACGTTGGTTTTAAGACTAAATTGTATTCCCCATATGGGGGGGGGGGGGGTTGTGGTTTTTAAATGCATGTGACAGCAAAATAATTTAGTCAGACTAGAAAAAAACGACTACCTTCAAGGAGGGTCTGAAAATTAGTACCATATCATTTTTTTAATTTTTAATGTGACTGAAAGATTTTTTTCTCGGTATTGCAACTTTTTTGAGATTTGGATGACCATGAAGATGATATAGTTTAATCAATAATTTTTTGTCGGATAAGTATTTTAACCAATGTCGTACATATTTTTTAAACTTTGACCTTAAATCGTATTATACAGGGTGTCCCAATAAACATGGGAATTGAGAGACGAACAATATCGTCTTTAATTTCCTAATTGATAAATGACAATAAAATGCATCTAAAAAGAACGTCTAATAAGCTTTCCAAAATGTGGTCTACCTTCTTTGTGTCTTTTAAATTGAGTTTGACCGAGATATTAAACCTTTCAACAGTTACGCGTCGGCAAAAACTGGCTCTGCACTTTTCTTACAACTTTAGTTCAGGGGTGAATACTGGCCAATCAGGGATGCTTCATAGACTTTGATCGCAGCGTGAGCGCTGTGAAACAATAAGATTACTTATTTTCGAGATAAGATTCATTTTTATTTTCTCCTATCCCTAAAAGATTAGTTAACTGTAGAATTTTGTTTACATTTGTTGTCGTTATTTCATAAAATTCTGAAGACGTATCCACCCAAAAGTACGATTTTGAACGCCGACTTTGAGCTCAAACTCAGGATTTAAAGATATTCAAAAAGTTTTATATGTCTCAAATAAATCCTAAAGAGTTTGTCCATAACACTAAATACTCAGTTGAACTACCTTACATAGTGGGTCTGTCCCTTTAAGAGCTTTTCACAAGAATAAAATTTTAAAACTAAACAATAAAACTTTTGGATGTAAAATAATATCAAGGGGTCGAAAAGTCGTATCAGTAAATCTGTTTAAAATTACCTTTATCCTCTTGTTGAGATTGGAGTGCATTGGAGCAGTGGTTTGATAAGTGGATAAAAAATCCCAAATCATAATGGATTCAATACTTTTTTGTCAATATTTTGCAAAGAACAGAATGTGAACAATGAAAATTATATTTAAATTATTTGTAGATTAAAGTTTTATTGTTCTAGTTAAATACAGAGGTTTTCAATATACATGGTTATCCCATCCATTATTTGTAAAGTAGAGGGGGGGGGGGGGCACTTTAAAAGGTCAGAATTTAAACTTATTCATATTCATGTATTTATTCTTTTATCACAATCCCTTTATAGTCGATATATATATTTTAACATTACTTATTACAATCTCTTTATATTACAACCTCTTTTATTACAAACTCTTTATAGTCGATATATATATTTTAAAATTACTTATTACAATCCCAATGGGGGCTGAGCCCCTGGACCAGTGAAATCTATGGATTTCTGGGGGGTTTCAGGCCCCATCGGGTGCTTAACCCCCCTTGGAAAGAAAAAATATTTAAGCACCCCCTGGACAAATTCCTATCCTTTTATTTATTAGACCTTCTTCTATTACGATTCTTCTTTATATTATAACCTCTTTTATCACGATCTCAACATATCATATTGTCTTTTCTTACGATATTTATCAATTAAAACTTCAAGTGAACCAATTAAGTTTTGTTCTCTGCTTCTTTAATGTGTCATTTATGCTGCTGCAACTATAGTGGTCAGCATCCCTTAAAATGTATAATTTAATATTATTTAATTAGATATTTGTTTAAACTGTTCTAAATTGCATATAATTATCGTAAACGGTGGTTAAGTATCCTGTCTGATATGTTACTACTACTGGGCTTGAACTGATATGTATATCTTACGCATTATATTAAGGTTCCGGGTTATATATTAAGAAATATGAGAAAAAATGAAATATAATGTGTATATTTTATTTGTATATTTTCATAAAGAGTTTTAAATCTCAACCCCCCCCCCCCCCCCCCCCCCTCCTCTAATGTCTATCTATACTCAGATTCTAAAAATTCGATGCCGAAAATGAAAATAGATTTAAAAGTCCTGATGTAAAACAGATAGAAGCAAAATAAGAAGTATGGCGGATAAAAATAAAGAAAATTTAGATATAAAACTATAAAAAGCTGATTGGCAATGGAGAAAAGAAATAGGAACTTATCAAAATACAAGGAGATTTGAAGTCAAACCAAACATTTTTAAATTCCACCTTTCAATCCCCCCCCTTGCACAAAAGTTCAGTTGCGCCCAAGCGAATGATCATTAGAATAAAATGAAATGGTCGGTCCATATTTGGAGTAAAAAAACTGATTTTAACACAAATTATATATTTCCAACTATAAAGGTTTAATACCAACCTACCATATTTATGTGCATTTGAAGATAATTTTGAACCAACTATTGTTAAGTACAACAATGAATATTGTATATATTGTAAATACGATTTTTATAAAAGGTGGGAATGAAAAAAAATGGCAGAGTCACTATATGTATATTTGTACACAATATAAATTCCCTCAGTCCCGTATTGAAAATATATATATATCTATATTACAAAGATATTATGATATAAATTAACGCAAAATTAATCAAGCATTATTTATACTTGTCAGAAATATAAATTTTACATGATCTGATGTATAAAAATGAGAAAACAAGTCTTGATGAAATTATATCAGAAGCTCTGTTGCTTAAAACAATTTTTGTAAAATGTATATTAGAACATTTTGAATTGATTGAGGGATGCCGGATGGATGACAGTGATAAATAAAAAAGTTAAAAAGTTATATATCCCACAAAATATGAGACTTAATGACGACCTAGAATTCATTAAACATAAATTGTTTGTTTTTTACACGATAAGACAAGCAACATTTACAGCTTCAGGGAACCCTGTACAAAGTGGATAACCCTGTACATAGTGGGTAACCCTGTACATAGTGGGTAACCCTGTACATAGTGGATAACCCTGTACTTAGTACTTACCCTGTACATAGTGGGTATATAGGATTATCCACTATGTACAGGGTTACCCACTATGTACAAGGTTACCCACTATGTACTGGGTTACCCACTATGTACTGGGTTACCCACTATGTACAGGGTTACCCACTATGTACTGGGTTACCCACTATGTACAAGGTTACCCCCTATGTACAGGGTTACCCACTATGTACAGGTTTACCCACTATGTACAAGGTTACCCACTATGTACAGGGTTACCCACTATGTACAGGGTTACCAACTATATACATAGTGGGTAACCCTTTACATATGTAAAAAAAACACAAGAAATTAAAAAACTTTAACAGTTAACTGAAAATGGACGTTGAATAATTATCTAACTGTCTTGAATGATCTTGAGTAATTATTGAATCCTGGTGACAAAATAAACCGATTAAAATCTATTTATAACGGAGTATTGTATCATGCAATATTCAGATATTCAGACAGAATACACTAGATCACAATAATCAGAATATAAACAACAAAATGATTAACCATTGGAAATATGATGAATAAACGGGATTGTAAAATAACACGCAAACACCCGTTTCTTTTCAATTCTTTATCGATCATTTCTGTTATACCTCAGCCTTTTCTTCTTCATTTATTTTGTTTCAATTTCTTTATATTTTCTATTCTTTTGATCAATGTTTCCATTTTCCAATATCCATTATATGATTTGTCATCTTTCGTTTTTCTTTTCTGTAATATTCGTTTCTGATAAGTCCTTCTCCTCTTTCTTCCTTCTTTTCTGTAATATCCGTTTCTGATTAGTCCTTCCCCTCTTTCTTCCTTCTTTTCTGTCATATTAGTTCCTTATTAATCCATCTCCTCTTTCTTCCTTCTTTTCTGTCATATTAGTTCCTTATTAATCCATCTCCTCTTTCTTCCTTCTTTTCTGTAATATTCGTTTCTGATTAGTCCTTCTTCTCTTTCTTCCTTCTTTTCTGTAATATTCGTTTCTGATTAGTCCTTCTTCTCTTTCTTCCTTCTTTTCTGTAATATCCGTTTCTGATTAGTCCTTCTTTTCTGTAATATCCGTTTCTGATTAGTCCTTCTCCTCTTTCTTCCTTCTTTTCTTTAATATCCGTTCTTTATTAGTGCATGCTCTTTTGTCCCTCTTTTCTTTAATATCTATAACATTTTAGTCCTTCTCCTCTTTCATTCTACTTTTCCTTTCAATATCCGTTCCTAATTAGTCCTTCTCCTCTTTTATTTATAATTTTCTTCAATATTTGTTCTTTATTGTTTCTCCTCCTTTAATCATACTTTTCTTCAATATCCATTTGTGATTAGTCCTTCTCCTCCTTTATTTATAATTTTCTTCAATATCCATTTGTGATTAGTCCTTCTCCTCCTTTATTTATAATTTTCTTCAATATCCATTTGTGATTAGTCCTTCTCCTCCTTTATCTTACTTTTCTTACGTATCCGTGATTAATTCTTCTTTTTTATCTGTACTTATTATTTGAGGCCCGGTTTCCCGGGATCCTGTCTCTATCCGTTATTGTAAACTTCCATCTGTTCAATCTCGTTCCTGCATACTCCAAATATACTACAAATAGTCTTTTTTCATATTCTATGTATGATCGGTACAATATAATTTATGTCTACTGCACACCGTTTTAATGACCATCCTTTTTTCACGTTTCTCCATACTTTGTCATCCCTCACCCACTAATTTGTCCTGTATTTGTGATTTCCTGGTTCCAGTTTCTCAATATGTAATATAAGACTGCTTTTGCTTTTTTATTCTTTTTTAAATTTTTATCTGCAGTTGTTTGCGGTTTTTGTTAGGTTTTATTTCAATGCGCCTGTTCTTCCTATCCAGCCCTTTAATCAACCGGATCCGCCCTTACTCTGGTTTATTCTTCTCCGCTTGGTTCAGCCCTGCTCCGGGTCCCACGCTAGATACATATATATACGCGGGTACCCTCAGATTTGATATAGTTAGAATTATTCTTTGCTGTGAATATGCTTAAGGTGAGGAGAACCAAGAATCTGAAATTAAAAATTAGAATGGTCATGAGTTCTCAAATCAAATGATTCCGATGGAGGTTTCAATTTCCTCACATTTTTAAAAAGAAAACTAAATCGCCATTCTATCTATATTATCCTTGTCCTAGATCACTATTCTATCTTTATTATCCTTGTCCTAGATCACTATCCTTTCTATATTTTCCTTGTCCAAGATCACTATCCTATCTATATTATCCTTGTCCTAGATCACTATCCTATCTATATTATCCTTGTCCTAGATCACTATCCTATCTATATTATCCTTGTCCTAGATCACTATCTTATCTATATTATCCCTTTCCAAGATCACAATCCTATCTATATTATCCTTGTCCTAGATCATTTTACTTTCTATATTATCCTTGTCCAAGATCACAATCCTATCTATATTATCCTTGTCCTAGATCACTTTCCTATCTAAATTATCCTTTTCCTTGATGATTACCATCCTATCTATATTATCCTTGTCCTATATCATAACTATCTTCTCTTTATTATCTTTGTCCTTGATCACTATCCTATCTATATTATCCTTGTCCTATATCACTATCCTATCTATATTATCCCTTTCCAAGATCACTATCCTATCTACCTTATCCTGTCCTAGATGACTATCCTATCTATTATTCTTGTCCTAGATCACTATCCTATCTATATTATCCATGATGTCCTGGATCACTATCCTATCTACATTATCTACCTTATCCTGTCCTAGATGACTATCCTATCTATTATCCTTGTCCTAGATCACTATCCTATCTATATTATCCTTGTCCTAGATCAATATCTTCTCTTTATTATCCTAGTCCTAGATCAGTATCCTATCTATATTATCCTTGTCCTAGATCAGTAACCTATGTATTTTTTCCTTGTCCTTAGATCAGTATCATATCTATATTATCCTTGTCCTAGATCATTTTCCTTTCTATATTATCCTTGTCCAAGATCACAATCCTATCTATATTATCCTTGTCCTAGATCACTTTCCTATCTAAATTATCCTTTTCCTTGATGATCCTATCTAAATTATCCTTTTCCTTGATGATTACCATCCTATCTATATTATCCTTGTCCTATATCATAACTATCTTCTCTTTATTATCCTTGTCCTTGATCACTATCCTATCAATATTATCCTTGTCCTATATCACTATCCTATCTATATTATCCCTTTCCAAGATCACTATCCTATCTACCTTATCCTGTCCTAGATGACTATCCTATCTATTATCCTTGTCCTAGATCAGTATCCTATGTATATTATCCTTGTTCTTAGATCAGTATCCTATCTATATTATCCTTGTCCTAGATCAGTAACCTAAGTATTTTATCCTTGTCCTTAGATCAGTATCATATCTATATTATCCTTGTCCTAGATCACTATCCTATCCTGCCTGTTTATCTCCTCCTATGGAGCTCCTGCCTATCCTAAGGAGATTCCATCCATCCCTGGGATTAACTATGATAAACCTTCTCCTGCTCCTCTCCAACTAGCTCCTGCTCCAGGATATATTCCTGCTCCAGGATATGCTCCCGCTGCTCCTGCATATAAGGAGCCAGGTAGGATGATATTATTTAAAACAATTGCACGATTGGCATAATAATCAGTCTTTCAAGAATCAGGGCAAACTACAGTGATTACCAGAAAACGATGGAATAGGAAGACGACATTACAGCATTACTTAAGCGCAATTGCTTTTTTTACAAAGCAAATAGTATTACTTATTAATTCTTAATTTTTCAATTGTATTATCAACGTTATGAAAAACTTTTGTATAAGGTGGCGTAAACCTACAATGTATAAAGTCGATATCCATTTATTTTGGCTTTCGTATCTTTTAAGATATCCAAAGATGAAATCAACATAAAAAAACATGTGTAATCTAAGAAAAAATAAAAAGTGTTTTTTTTGTGGCTTATGGCTGGCGCCTCTTAGATATTGATAAAAAAGATTAACATAATCCAGTGTACTTTAAAAATTACGGACTAGTACTTTCAGAAAGAATTAATGATACAAAAGTTCTGGACCTTGTGAATATTGAAAATTTCTAATTGTACCTTCTCTAGGTGCACCTCATAACAGTTCTAAATGTATCTTCTCTAGGTGCACCTTATAACAGTTCTAATTGTATCTTCTCTAGGTGCATCTTATAACAGTTCTAATTGTATCTTCTCTAGGTGCACCTCATAACAGTTCTAATTGTATCTTCTCTAGGTGCACCTCATAGCAGTTCTAATTGTATCTTCTCTAGGTGCACCTTATAACAGTTCTAATTGTACATTTTCTAGGTGCACCTCATAACAGTTCTAATTGTACCTTCTCTAGGTGCACCTTATAGCAGTTCTAATTGTACCTTCTCTAGGTGCACCTTATAACAGTTCTAATTGTACCTTCTCTAGGTGCACCTGTTCTAATTGTACATTTTCTAGGTGCACCTCATAACAGTTCTAATTGTACCTTCTCTAGGTGCACCTTATAGCAGTTCTAATTGTACCTTCTCTAGGTGCAACTTATAACAGTTCTAATTGTACCTTCTCTAGGTGCACCTTATAACTGTTCTAATTGTACCATCTCTAGGTGCACCTTATAACAGTTCTAATTGTACCTTCTCTAGGTGCACCTTATAACTGTTCTAATTGTACCATCTCTAGGTGCACCTTATAACAGTTCGAAATTGTATCTTCTCTAGGTGCACCTTATAACAGTTCTAATTGTATCTTCTCTAGGTGCACCTTATAACACTTCTATTTGTATCTTCTCTAGGTGCACCTTATAACAGTTCTAATTGTATCTTCTCTAGGTGCACCTTATAACTACTCCTACGAGGTGAAGGATGAACCTGCAGGATTGAACTTCGGACAGAACGAGAACAGTGATGGAAGTGTTGTATCCGGAGAATACAGGGTTCTACTTCCGGATGGAAGAACTCAGATTGTCAGGTAGGATATTCAGCCTCACTTCCCCTAAACTGAAGAGGTGGAATGTTGAAGGGTTTTTTAAATTGAAATTTAATTTTCGGGCATTTTGGTTGCTTTCCAAGACTTTATCTCATTAATAAGTTAATCATGGAAAAATATTAATTCAGAAAAAATCTTGAGAGGAATTTAGGTTTTTACATTTAACGGTTTTTCCATTCTTGATTTTTTAAATTGATAAAAAATCTGCATTTTCTAACTTTTCTAGCAACTTGAAAAACAGTTTTCTTTGAGTTCATAAAACATCTGGTTTTCATGATTATGATTTGTTCAGGTACAGAGCAGATCACGTGACCGGATATGTTGCTGATGTATCATATGAAGGAGAAGCTAGACCTTATGTTCCGGTCAAACCCTACTCTCCTCCAGCAGTTTATTATTAGATAGTTAATCTCAAACCTGATCCTCATTCTGAGCTTAGTTCCTTCTTTCCTGATCCTCATCCTGATCCTGGTACCTTCTCACCTGATCCTTATCCTGATTTTGGTTACTTCTCACCTGATCCTTATCATGATCCTGGTACCTTCTCACCTGATCCTTATCATGATCCTGGTTCTTTCTCTCCTTATCCTCATTATGATCCTGGTTCCGTTTCTCCTGATCCTTAGCATGATCCTGGTTCCTTCTCTCCTTATTCTCATCATGATCCTGGTTCCTTTACTCCTGATTCTCATCTTGATCCTGGTTTCTTTTCTCCTGATTGTCATCCTGATCCTGATCTTAGTTACTTCTCCTGATCCTCATTCTGATCTTGGTTCCTTCTCTCCTGATCCTTATCATGATCCTGGTTCCTTCTCTCCCGGTCCTCATCCTGATCCTGGTTCCTTCTCTCCTGATCCTCATTCTGATCTTGGTTCCTTCTCTCCTGATCCTTATCCTGGTCCTGGTTCCTTCTGTCCTGATTCTTATCATGATCAAGTTTCCTTCTCTCCCGGTCCTCATCCTGATCCTGGTTTCTTCTCTCCTGATCCTCATCCTGATCCTGGATCCTTCTCTCCTTATCCTCATTATGATCCTGGTTTCTTTTCTCCTTATCCTCATTATGATCCTGGTTCCATATCTTCTGATCCTGATCCTGGTTCCATATCTTCTGATACGGATCCTGATCTTGGTTCCTTCTCTCCTGCTCCTTATCCAGATCCTGGTTCCTTATCTTTTGATCCTGATCCCCATCTTAGTTACTTCTCCTGATCCTGGTTCCTTCTCTCCTGATTCTAATCATGACCCTTGTTCCTTCTCTCCTGATCCTTATCCTGTTCAGGTTCCTTTTCTCCTGATCTTTTCCTAACCTTGGCTCTATTTCTCCTGATCTTTTCCTAACCTTGGCTCTATTTCTCCTGATCTTTTCCTAACCTTGACTCCTTTTCTCCTGATCTTTTCCTAACCTTGGCTCTATTTCTCCTGATCTCTGATCTCTTTTCTGATCCTACTTCACTTCTTAATCCTAAACTTGATCTTGATATAAGAACTACATCCTTTTCAACCCTTAATCCTGAGCCTGATCCTTCATTTTACAATGCTGATTCTAATTTAATCCATACACAGATTATCCTCCTTCCCTTTATCTTCTCCGATTCCTCTTCTTTCAATGATCCTCTCCTATACCTAATTTAACTCCTTTCCTTGATCCTATAACTGTTCAGATCACAGGACTTCATTTGATCCACTTAAAGCACTATTCTTTTACTCCTAATCCCCCGTCCTAGTTCAATCCTAACCCTAATCCTGATATCTCATCACAAATCCTAATTCGTGAATTTCTCCGACTTTGGTTAAAATTCTAATCCTTCCTCTCTGGTTTGATTTTAATCTTAATCCTAAATCTCATCTTAATCATGGCTAAATCTCATTTTATTGCTTTCATTATTCCGAAAACCCCAGAAGACTCTCCAGATCCCAACCTGTCCGATCTGTGTTTCAGCCTAACTTGTTCTTATTTATACATTTTACATAACTATTCTGTTTAGTAATATGCGAGTTTTATGTGATATGCTTTATTGTTTAAGTTGTAAAATAAAATAATTATTTATAAAACATGTTTATTAGATTTGTATAAACTTGATGAACTTTAATTAGTTTTCTCCTGGTTGGATGAACACAGTACTTTAAATTAGTCCAAGTCATTGAGTTTGAAACTTGAGATGATTTGATCGTTCGTAGTTTTTGCAGGTTAAATTATTTACAAACTTGATTCAACTTTGATAAATGATTTTTATACCTCATTTTAAACAGATACAAGGTGTCCCAATAAACATGGGAATTGAGTGACGATTTCGATATTGTCTTTGCAAAGAATTAGGATTGTAATACCTGATTTCAAAAACCATAATCTAATTATGACTGCTAGAGCTTATTTTATGAAAACGGTGAATGGCTGCAATGATGTGCACTGTAATTTCTCTGGAAGATGAACAGTAAAGTCTGATATGTTTACAGTGTAATTAATGTAATTTTCCTGTTCTACCAAGTACAACCGTATGCAGTAAAACATAAACAAACAAATTGTAAACATAGCAGACCAAAATCCTACAGATTACAGCTGTAGGTGTCACTATACTAAATCATAGAATATTTAGGAGTTTAGGAGATAGGTTTATGGTCAACACCTACTTACAAAGAAAGAACCTGCACGAGTAACAAATTTAAAGAGATTATAAAACACTAGCTGAAGGGCCCGGCGTTGCCTGTGAAAATACGAATTTTTTTAGCCTATGTCACCCACAGGCTACCTAGTACCTATAAGTGGCCACAAAAAAATTCAGCCCATCCGGTCCAGCCGTTAGGCCGGCTATAGGATACATATATACGTATGTCTTGTTTTATTATATAGATTAAACACAAAAAAAACAGAGATAAAGCATGTTGCATAAACAAGGAAAAGAATAAGACTTCAGAGCACATAGATTCAGCCTTCTCTAACTCGCTTATCCTAAACATGTACATTACCAAGCTATAAAGCACATGAGCTTAGCTAAAGCCTTTAAGAAATAATTGGAAAAATTCTCATAGATTTTAGAGTGAAAGCTTTGAACCTTTAAATCCCAATGAGGGTCGGTTCTCGGGATGTATATACTGTCTGTTTTGGTTCCCTGCAACTGTAAACTTGTATTATTTATTTTGTCCAACTCACACAACTCTTTAAAGGAACATACAGGGTGTCCCAATAAACATTGGAATTCAGTGACGAATTCTATATCGTCTTTTTAAATAATTTTTTGATTTAGTATAGTGATACCTACTGAGAAAGCTGTGATCTGTAAGAGTTTCGTCTGCTATGTTCACATTTTGTTTGTTTATGTTTTGACGGCATACGGTTGAACTTAGTAAAAAACAAGAAAATTGCAGTATACAAACAGAGTGAACTTGTCCGTCTTCATTGTTCATCTTACGGAGACATTATAGACACATCTTTACAGTCTTTTACTCTTTTCATAAAATAAACTCTAGCAGACATAATAACATTATGGTTTTTGTAATTAGGTATTACAATGCTAATTTATAACAAAGACGATATCGAATTTGTCACTAAATTCCCAGGTTTTTTGGGACACCCTGTACATAATGCATTAGCTTGGGAACCCAGCTTTGCCTGGTAACTAAACTTTCTCTAAAATTGGTTCAGGAGTTATGATCGGACATACAAACAAACAAAAATACACCCAAACAGAGATTACTACTTTATCTATATACTAACTTGGGAACAGTACAATAGCCAACCCTCTTAACTTAGAATTTTTAAACCAAGCTAAGAACATTCCCGTGGCAAATCGGTCAAGGGGTTTCTGAGTTATGATCAGATATACATACAAACAAACAGAGATTACCCCTTTTATTAATACTGATATTTGAACGATATGAATTGAATGTCAAATTATAATATTTTATGAATATCTAGAATCTTTTATGTTTCCGTTTACATATGATTGCTGCAGGGCATTGCAAGCAGTAAATATATTCATATTCAGAATACTCATGTATTATATATATCTCAGGGTATATCTTGACTCCTAATGATCATCAAACAATGAAAGTATAACTGAGCATTAAAACACCATTATTGCTTCATTCATCACATTTTGTAATGTTTTGAATAGATTCCTACTAATTTTGTATAATGATTATTTGAACAAAGTACAAAGTGTGTTTTATCTGCAAGTTACAGAACTGGACGAAAATACAGTTATCAAGAGGGGTAAATCGTTGTTGCCCCCCCTCATCAATGCAGCTGTGTTCCCCCCCCCCTAATTCGGGCCGGGGAACCGGGAACCTGCCAAATCTAGAAAAACATAGAAATCTAATAATTAATAGTTGCGGTTTGTACGCTTATAATGCCGTCAATTCTCATGTTTTATGTCTATTTCTCCATATTTGTACAAATTCTTTTGAACCAAATTGGAGATACTTCAGATTATTAGTCTGGGTCATGGATAAAATTTTAATCTTATTTTAATGTTAAAACATTTAACGGGAATTGAAAACTAGCCACAAATTCTAATTCTTTATATCTTTGCGACCTGATGTGTTAGACATTTAAAATTTTAATAGATTCTGCTAGATTATATAGTACACCAATAGATTGGAAAGATAAATGGATTCAAACAAAATTTCAAGTTTTAAACGAGCGTTCTGTTTCTATTGAATTACTGGTATGACAGTTTATCTTATAAGTTTTATCTATCTTCTTCTTAACTTCAGATTTAAAAAAAAAATTAATTGCTTGACATATACGTCACTTTTGAAGAAACGAAAATGTAAGACCACATTTAAGAAATCCCACGGCAGAGAGTTATTTTGTAATTTTATTCTTTGATTGCATTTTAATTGTGTTTACAAAATAATGTCGCGTAGATCTCAGTCGTCATCTTATTCCATTGTTATTTTAGACACCCTGTGCAATATTTTAAATAAGACTCTGATGGGAAAAATGCGTAATGTATCCCGAAATTCCGCAAAGTTAGGCTCTGATAAAGTGTTTCCAACAATGGGTTAAATGTTGTCTGGAAATTGTTTAATTACTCTAAATAATAGCTGTAAGTGGTTTAATCCACATACTACAAACATTCAAAACTTTTTACACCGGACAGGTTTAAGACAATAGCCCGCCATTGTATTATGCGAATAAATAATGATTAAATTAACCTAACTATACCAAACATGACATTTGTAAATATGCCTGAATAAAAACTATAAAACTGTTCCTTCATTAAACATTTTTTTGTAATATTTTGCCTGAACAAAAACTATAAAACTGTTTCTTCATTAAACATTTTTTTTTGTAAAATTTTGCCTGAATAAAAACTATAAAACTGTTCCTTCATTAAACATTTTTTTTGTAATATTTTGCCTGAATAAAAACTATAAAACTGTTCCTTCATTAAACAATTTTTTTTGTAATATTTTGCCTGAATAAAAACTAAAAAACTGTTTCTTCATTAAACATTTTTTTTTGTAAAATTTTGCCTGAATAAAAACTATAAAACTGTTCCTTCATGAAACATTTTTTTTTGTAATATTTTGCCTGAATAAAAACTATAAAACTGTTTCTTCATTGAACAATTTTTTTGTAATATTTTGCCTGGCTAATATTTGCAGATTGAGAGTCAAAATGTATTAAATGAAAGAAGAAGAAACTGCTTAATTGCAACAAAGTCAAAAATCAAAGAATTCATGATTATGAATATCAAAGTTCTACGATTTATCTGGTTGCTAAGATATAAGGATAAGAAAAAAAGAGAATGGAGAGGGTAATCAGTTTCTTTTTTATGAAATAATATAATACATTTTTCATGTTCTTATTTAAACAAAACAGGTTCCACCATGTTTTCCTGATTCAGTGAACACCAGTACTAAAGTAAAGCTATTTGCTTTAAAACAACATCAAATGCATTTTACTGTCTTCCTATTCTAAAGTTTTCTGGCTATCACTGTAAGATGAAAAATAAAACCATGACTTGTACTTTTTGAACTCTGTTTAAAGAGAACTGGTTCTCCTGTAATCCTACAATAGAATAGATCCTATCTGATCAACTAGGGATAATCACTTTTAATAAGATATCAGAGAATTACCTTAAAGTCGGAAGTGACTCTTAACCCCATACGTATGTCTTGTTTTATTATATAGATTAAACACAAAAAAAACAGAGATAAAGCATGTTGCATAAACAAGGAAAAGAATAAGACTTCAGAGCACATAGATTCAGCCTTCTAGACCCCCCCCTCCTCCCGGTTGAATCCCCGATCAGACTATTTAGACCAATAATCCCCTGTTATCTCTAACATGAATTCGACAATAATAATAAAATTTAAGTAAAACCACGCACACACACAAGAGCAAAAACTTTAGGTTTTAAGCCCATTATTCATAATACCAAATTAAATAGAAATTAGCTTAAACGGGGACTGAAAACGCTATAATAGCATCATAATGTATTTTTCCTTAACACGAGGAAAATAATGGAACCCAATCTTTTTAATCTAATAATGGTGTAAATCCTTTGACATTTTAAATCATGACTATTTAATCTGACAGAATTTATAGTTTTAAAAATCAAAGGTCTACGCCATTAGATATTTTGCAGATTTTTCGGTGAACATTGCTGTTTTTTTTTCTAACAAAATTTAGCTTTTTAGGCAACATTTTTCAGATTATTTTCACAAAAAAATAGGCCTGATTGGGTCAGTTAGTTGGACATTTGTATGATAAAAACATACAATGATACAAATAGACAAGCAAAATATATTTATGTCACAGGATGCACAGTTTTATATATATTTATCTTTTTTCCCCCTAACCTTATAAAGTCTGTGCTTAGATATTCAAAATGACGAAATGAGTCGGAATGAGATAAACCTTATCCTACATGTTATTCAACTCTTATTCCTGAAGATGAAATAAGTTTTGGAATAAGTATTTCCAATATTTAAAGATCTTTGTATTGAATGTAGAGGCTGAAATTTTATCTCTCTCTTCATTTCTTCTTCTTTTGTTCCGAAATTCAATTTTTCTCAACAAAGGTTTGATTAGCAGGATTTTAATATTAGAGAGACATATCATCAGATAGGAGGAACTTTAAACATTCTCCTTTAATTAAACTTACAAATTTTCAACTAGAATCTATTTCTTTCTCAAGCTACTCCGCTATACACGGTGATCCAAAGGTTGCAAGCTCTAATGCAAAGTTCGATGAGAATTTTTCAAATTACATCTTAAAAACTAAAGATGA